GTACTTCCAGTTCCGCTCAGGCGGGAATCACCCCGTTGCCGAGCTGGGTACCGTTCTCGCGGTGTAGGAGCAGTGTCAAAGTCGACGGAGAATTCGCTCGCTGTGCTACAGCTTCGGGAACGACCCCCGGCAGACTGTCCATTTTGCCTCTTAGACTCTCGTCCGCGGCGGCGCAGCCTGCCCATTCCCACCCATACAAAACTGACAACCCATTTGACCTCCTTCCATAAAACGTAAGCCCACCATTTGACCAAGACTCCCACAGCAAGGACAAATCGAATAGGTAGAATTGTGAATGTGTGCAACCAAGCGTCCAAGCAGGCAAGGGCGCCAAAATTCAAGGTCCGCTCCAAGTATGGCGGTAGGAGAAGAACGTTTTTGAGTCTCTCGAGCTTGATAGCGCTCGACTCGTACGGCGTATCATTAGAATGAGGATGATGAATATAGAGAGGGCTAGGTCGCTGTGCTGCGATCTCAAGCTGTAAGTGGGTGGGTATCGACATCGGGGGCAAGGGTATTTTCCCCAGCAAGGGCGACGGTGGCCCTGTGGCAGATTGTGGATCTGGGATCTTGGGTGTGGTGATGGCGGCAGGGCCCGTTCGGATCGAGGGCATCGAGGCCAAGTGCCTTGTGTCAATGTTGAGATTTAAGGGAGGAGGACGCATAGATTGGTTAAAGGAGTACCGTCTGGGAGATGTGGCTGCCGCGGAGTGTTCGTTGGGAAATCTGGTGCGGTTGGCTGGTGGCGTTGATGCCGTCCTGGGGGCTGGGCTGGGCTGGCCAAAGTCAACTCTGTCTCTGACCTGCTGCCACGTTCTTCGACCCCCGCGCCCGTCGAACTGGCCGTAATCTGTCCCAGGGTCGATTGCAGATTTCGGCAACAGCTCATGGTGATCGGATGGCACTGATCTCCTGTCAAGGTCGACGAAGCGTCGTTCGGGGGCAGGAGCGATTGGCAAGGAGTCAGGAGACTTGGTCAATTCCTGGAGGTCGGTCGCAGACAATCGTCGAACCTTTAGACTGCCGCTCCGGCTTCGCGACTTGGCCGCAGCGCCGTCTGTGTGTCCGTTTGCCATGGTACGGTCCTGTGAGGGCAATGGTGTGGGCAGTGGCGCTGGGTCTGAGGGTAGTGGCGCTTTCAGTTGCTCGTGGCCAAGTAGTCCGTTCCTTTCTTCTTCTATTGAGGATCGGTCGTCATCGGAGGATGGGGTGGCCAGTGTCGAGGCTACTGACGTCGGAGGACTAACACTCGTAAAGCTCCCATCACTTGTCGAGATGCATGGCGGTGGCTCAAGACCCTCTCGCCGTCTGGGCGTTTTGGCGGTCGCTTCTGTCTCCGGGAGAAGATGGTCGTACTCGGCTGTAGCGGCCATTACAGGTGCTCGCGAGCATTCTGAGCTGGCAGTACTTTCTTTCCAGCCGCAGGTGGTGAGACGAGGTGGCGAGGAAAGGTGTTGCGGTGGAGGATGACAGATGGGAACTCGAGGTTAGTTCGATCATTACATAAACCTGAAAGCTTGAAAGACGAACCCCCCAGCGCTATATTAGCCCTGAACACTGTGAACTCCCCCACAGTTAGTTGCGAGGTCATGGGTTGGTGCAGCGGCTCCACCCGCCTAATCCTGTGATTCCCTTCTGAGACATCAGATTACGTCGGTTGGATATTCCTATTCTTAGCACCTCCCTGGCTTGGAGATCGTATCGATATGAATGGCTTGGTCCTGAGTCTCCATCAGATCTGGTGGCATCTCTAGGCCACTATGTAATCTACCACATGCCATCATATGTAACACCAAACCTTCAACCCATTCCACTATCACGATGACACTAGAGGGTGTGAGGACTCGACCCGGGCACCAGGTTTGACAAGCACCAGCAGCCAATCAGACTCCATCGTCTGCAGTGATTCTCAGATGCATAATGAATGACACTTGGGAGGTACAGAATATCCATCCACTTGTAGTACACATCAGCCAGTCAATGGCTTGGAAACACCGACTCAAAGGTGACAAAGGACACAGTTTCATTGCGCATTGAGGTGCTACTCAAACATTAAAATCTTAGTCTGAAGCTAATACCCCAAGCAATAGCTCGGTATCAATTACTCCGGCTAGCTGGGCTTGCACTAAAGAATGGTCCTAACAAACGCTCTTCCACCATAAGCCCGCGTTGCCTTAAGGGTTGACAAGAAACTCGTCAAACCACGCCACGGCCTGCTTGAAGGCCTGTTCCTTGGCAAACCTCTCCGATCGAACATTGGGGTTACCACGAACAGCGAAGCCGTGCTCAACGCCCTGGAAGAGATTGATCTGGTAAGGCAGGCCTGTCTTTCTCAGGATTTCCTCAGACTTGATTCGCAACTTCTCAGGGAAGATTTCGTCAGTCTCGGCAGCGGAAATGGAGTAAGGACCGGTGATCGCAGCCAGCTCCTCCTTCTCAACAAAGGAAGGGTGTGCAGAGTAGCCAACGTCAATTCCGTGCTTGTAGTTGCGCACGACATACTATTTAGCCTGTGTCAGCTAGGTATGCAACAATGTTTAGCCAGGGCTAGGTACTACCTTGGCACCGAAGCAATACCCAACACCGCCAATTCTCTTGATTCCCAAGCTCTTCAAAGTTTCAATTCCTTTGACGACAATGGGGTCAATAGTGGCGGGCGTATGAGGATTATTGCCGTCACTTCCCTTGGTGATCCACGCCGCGATATCCCAACCGGCTGGTCTCTCCACTGGCGCCTGGTCGCCATTGAAGATATCAGGAATGAGTGTGGTGTAGCCTTGAGCGGCAAAACTGTCGGCCATCAATTGGCTATTGGGGTAAATGCCAAAGATGTCTGACAGGATGATAATGGCTGAATCCTTCTTGGCAGGGAAATCTGCACCAGGTGTAGCCAGGTATGCGTCGGTCTTCCCATCAGTAAGTTTGATGATTTCTCCAGCAGGCTCGCCGCTTCATTCTGTCAGTTGTTTTGTGTAATCCGGGAGCCATGCTTTGAGAACCCTTCTTGGCATCGCGATGAGGGGATGCGGGGTGGTGCCTACCTGAGAATCCAGCCGCGCGCGCAGCATTCACCAGGGGGGTTTGAGGCCATTTTTGTTGTTTCGATGTAAATCAAGCGAGTTTATCGATTGAGAGAGTCTCTTGAATCTGTGACTATAAAAAGGCTTGATTCGAAACTGTTGAGGAGTGGGAAAATAAATAAAAGATGAAGCGGACGAGGTGGAGATGAAGACATCCCTGCTATCATTCTGCTCTTGCCCCTCCAAACCTCGGCATAGATTTCCGTGGTTGGCTACCAGCAGAATTGCGAATGTCGAGATGTGTAAGCAGTGCCTACCCAATTTGTCAAATTTCTCATTTTGGAAATTGGTTTCTCGAGCTAGACGGAGGGTCAAGTTGGGTCCTCGCTTGTCGTCGAGTGACAGACGATCGCTTAGGACGGAAAACCGGAAATAGAAGTTGGAAAGAAAGCCTTATTCCCAAAAAACTTAACCCACCAAGTGGGTTGGGTGGAAACGCGTAGAAAGAAGGGCGCGCGCATGGATATATTACTACGCTGGAAGTGATTTATGATGATATCTCTGATCACCATGTTGAGATCCCATGCGCCCGGCCCACCTTGCTGCATACCACCTGGGTAGAGACTCCCAGCAAGGCTGTCCAAGCATGCCTTGGGGCCATAGAAAGGAAATCAATGACAATTACTTCTGTCGTACCGTTTTGGGTTTCCGTTTCTTGAATACAATTGGTGCAGGTCCTGTCTCGCCGTCTTCTTTTTTGACTTGGGGTTCCAGTTTCGGCTCTGCCGTCTCGTCTGGTATGGTGAAACCCTGTACCTCTGTGTCGGGTTCCTTTTTAACTGGGTCTGATTCTTCCATCTTGACCTGCTCCTTGGATTCGGGAGCCTCATCCTCAACTTTGACATCCAGGTCTGCGCCGGCATTGTGATTTTGGCTGGTCAATATCGAGCCGCTCAGAAGAGCATCCAGGTCTGCGTCCTCATCTTGGTTGCCAACAGTTTTTGAATCCCGACCCCATCTCCTCGGCTTCTTAAACAAACTCTGCAGGGCTTCTTCCTCCTCCTTCTCCTCCTCAGTGACTTCTCGTTTCCGGACCCCTGTTGCCTTGGTATCCTTACTGTCCTCACCTTCGGCAGGTTTGTCCTCAATGACTCGTGTGCTCGTGACGGTCCACTCGCCAGCCATCGCCATCTCGGGTCGAAAGTCGTCGGGCATCGCCACCCCCAGCTCCGCGAGCTGCTCCCTCTGCTTCTTGAGCTCGGCCTCGGTCGAACCAACCGACGCCGGCCCTGCCTGTGAACTCCCGCGGGGTCCAGGCCGCGAAGACGACGAGGAGGCTCCGGACACTACGCCGTCAAGCCGGGCAATCTCCCGCCGCGCCCTCTCCTTCTCGCGCTCCTCCTTCTCATGGTCGCGATGTAGATCTCGTAGGAAGCGCTTCAGGGCGTACTGGTGCTTGGCGGTAGCTTCATGGTTCTGGCGCTCGAACTTGGTGTCGCGGACGAAAACGGAGCAATGCTTGCACCAGTATTTTGGTGTGGATTTCCAATGTTCCGCCATCCTTCAAACTCGGGATTTCGTGATGTGAGGTCAAAACTTGAAAGAGCTGGCAAGATACTTTTGCGACGGGCGTGGTTGTAGAAGGATCGAGTTCCAGGCTTGAAGAGTTGAATGTTGGTCTTTGAAAACCGACTGCGACAGGCAAAGGCGAAAGCTTATCGTTCGCTAGCTATCGCCCCACTTTCCGATGCAGCTCCCCAGTGAGTCTAGTACGTAATAGGTAATGCCAAAATTGGTATTAGTCCAGGCACCATTGAAACCTCCCAACCTCAAACCTTCCCAAAGGGTCACCTTATATTACTTCCGACTAGGTACTGATATACACCCAGATCTTCTCAATGAAGCTGCCATTCTTCAATATCATCTATCTGATGTAACTTGTGTCTTTCCCTCGGCCATACATACGGTTCGGAGTTGAAGGGTGCGAATCTCCGTGGAAAGGCGCTCCTGAACCCGGAAGCTGAATTACCCCCTCTCGTCGATGCAAAGACTGGAGATACAATTGAGTCCTTCCCCAAGGATCTCGAGGCATTTTATCAGCTGAATGGTAGGCTCAGTTGTATTCTGGCAGTTAAACTAGGCTAATCTATTAATTCCAGTCTCAGAAATGCTTTATATCCTTCGTGCTCTCGATTTAAGAGCAGAGAAAGTCGGTGTTATTACAGCCCAAGAGACTCTGAGGAATATATTTATATAAAGCTATGGAGGTCGGGATTTGATTCTGTTCCATATATTGCTAGTATATGCTCCTCGCCACCAGGGATTCAATTGTTATTAATTGGCTCGAGTATTCATAGGGGAACGCTACATCGTGTTGTTCTCAGCTCTTACTACATGCCCAAGTGAGAGACACTGGAAATAGCACACCTAAGCACTCCCTTAGCATAAACTTGATCTCTTATCTTTATAGCTAGCTATGGAATTACTAAAATAAATTGAAAGAGAGAGTATCAAGATCTAAGTATTAGTATTCTCTAATCTTCGCTTAGAATAAGCTACTTATTGAGATGATTAGATGTTTATTTGAGTAGTTATTTGGGTGGCTATTTCCAGTGTCACCCACTTGCTACCATACGGCTTGAGTTCAAGACGTGCCTGTTCAAGGGTGTTCTACCTAGGAAAGGATTGCCTAACAGGTGGCATACAGAGGTAGTCACAATGTGAGTTGTGGCGGCAGAATACGATAAAATTCGGACACCTTTTACATCTTGATTCGCTCATTAAGTAGACTGGACATCAAACAGGAGGTACATGTTTTAAGTAGATTTGCATTCAACTTGATCTATCTGGAAAAAGTGTAACATTAGAGCCCTGTGGTTCGTCGGCATCAGGCTTGATGCCTTAATCGTGTTCTCCTCCCCCTTTCTGAAAACAAAAACGCATCCGTTAATTTAAATGTACATAAAAATCCAAAATACCCCCACGATCAAGGTCGCGAAAGAGTGTGATCCCATCTTATTTCCCCTTGATGCTGGGGGACTAGAAGGTGTAGGATTTTCCTCAATCTCAATTGGCTTCTGTGGCTGCTGAGGGGAAGAAGAGGAGGTGGCCTGTAGCTTAGGTGTCGGTGTGGGGGTGCTGGGACCGGGAGTCTGTGAAGGAGAAGAGGGAGAAGAGCTCGGCGGTGGAGGAGCTCGTGAAGGCTCTGTTTGGCTGCCGATAGGACGTGGCGGGGGGACTACCGTGGGCACATGAACCTTGACATTGCGAGTCTTGGTGACGATGGCACCCTTGGTTGGGGCCTGGATCTGGCCGTCCGCGATCTGACTGACCCGTGGCTGGTCCGCGTTGTCTGGGGCCTCGCACGACTCGACGTAGATGGTCACGGGCTCACACTGCTTCGCCGAATTTCTATCATAGAGGTTGTAGAAGTCCCCAGAGAGACATTCATAGAAGGTTCGCGTTGGGCCGAGTGCGAGGGTAGAATCATCGCAAACCGCCCAGCCCTTGGTAGCGAGGGCATTGGGCTGTGCAGGGCCATCAAACTGAAACTGGTGGTTCGAGGCAATGGAGCCAATACGATTCTGCGAATCAATGAGTCCACCGTCCTTCAAGGACATGACAAGTGCGCCTTTGTCGGTACACTTTCCACTCTGCGAACTTGTTAGCTGGCTGCACGTAGGTACTCTCTGGAGACATCGTTGAGTAACATACCTGTACTTCTGAACGTTTTGCAGTTCTCTTGCTAATAATAATCTGGAACTTTCCGTTATAAGACGCAGAGCAGCCTTCCGAAATTCTCTTTGTGTTGCCGACATCTTTGGGCTCACTTGGAGGGGCTGCTTGAACGGCAGCTGAGAGACACGCAAGCAAAACAGATTCCCACTTCATGATGGCCGTTTTGTGATATGAGTTATACTAGACAATAGTATAGCTTTCAGAGAGCGTATGAGCGAGATTTTGTATTTCTCTTGGGGTTGAAGAAGTCAGTCTGCAATAGAGGCAATATGGTGTTGGCTGCCAATGCTGGGAAAGATGCCAGTGTGATTGTTGCAATCAAGGTGAGTGCCATGGCATCCAATATATAGAAATCTCGATATCGGAATCTCCCTATCCCAGCCCATTGAAGACCTTTAGTACTGGACCCGAGCGTCATAGATTGATCCTCTTAATACAAAACTTCTCCAACATCTCGCGATTCAGCCTCGCGTTTCCAATAAAGTTCCTGTCGCGTGGAGGCTGGGCGTGTCCAATGTCTCAGTGTGGGACGACTAGGTCTACCGAAGACCTACCCCTCAAACCTCCCGGTGGCAGGGTTGAGAGCAGCAGTTATGCCAGCAGCAAGTGAGTAAATTGAGCTCATAGCGGACAACGAAGGTATAAAGTTGTCACCCAGACATGGAAAACTCATGTAAGGCAAGAAAAAGTCCACATGGTTGACAGATTCTTCACAAAGGAGCCTTCTACTCTATACGGTTAGAAAAAGAGCCGATCGAGAAATATTCGTTGTAGTCCCCAAGCCCAAACTCGTTCCCCTTACCAGGGAGACGTAGGTATGCCATCCAGACACTTCGCTAAACATTTGGTGGCCATGAGAGATATGGAATAACTGTAAAATGGACAAGGGGGCTGTTTTCCAGCGACTCGACCAGGGAAAGGCGTTTCTAGTCGTGGCTACCCGTGGAATGTGTGTTTGTCTCAGGTGCCGGCAGGAATTTTCCCTGCTGTTAGCATGCCAAACGGTCACCCAGCCATAAGATTGACGCAAAAAGCCCTGCAGAGTGGTCAAAGTTCTGAGACCTCTGTTGAACTTTCTTGCTCCTGTCGACGTTTTCTCTAGGACCTTTTAGCAGTGTTTCCAGGAATTTGGCACTCGTGAGACAGACGCCGCCATGCGAGCCGCGACAGCCTTTGGCGAGTATGAGATTCCTGCGTTAATCAACAAACCAAGGGGCGAGAAGCCTCCATACCATTTCATTTGCCAGTAAGGATCTTATTACTAGAATTCAAGATGGACGAGAATGATGAGATGGTTGACAAAGTAAATTTTAGGTATATTCCATCCTCGTCCTATTCAGACAATGTGGTAACAGACTACGGTATCAAGTTCTAACCTTCTATCGAGAGCAATTAATCTCGTCGCGCTTAAAAATAGCAATAATTGTAGCCGTCCACGGCGATCTCCCCATTTTGTTGTTTATATCATATCTCTTCTCGTCAATCATATCTTCATATGTACTTCATTCTTACACCCTCTATTGTGCGCCAGCCAGGGATAGCAGGCTCTGGTGGTTGGCAAAGAGACCGGGTTGAGCCTTGTACAGACCCTGCACAGTCCTCTTCACCATATCGCGAGCTTCGCCCTCGAGCTGCTCCTCAGGAGGGCTCAAGACCTTCTCGAAAATAGTAAGAAGTTGGGGAGTGAACTGCTGGACTGTCTGGTTGGATTGGTCATAAAGCTGGAGGATCATCTGGAAAATGGGCACGTTCTCCTCGTAGTCCTCCTCAAGAGGCAAGACGCTGATGATGGATGGAAGAGCCTCGGCGATGAAACCATTGTCAGGGTGCTTGATGATCATGCGGCTAAGAGCGCCGGAAACGTTGTCAGCCATTCGCTGCTCCTTGACAGCCAAAAGAGGCTCAAGCTTCTCCCAGATTCTGGGGTAGAGAGGGAAGGTCTTGGCGGTATCGTTGGAGTTGAGAACCAACATGCCAATGGCATATGCAGCATTTGACTTGGCAAGAGGGTCGGTATCGGTCAGACGGCGGGCAAGAGCCTCGCCGAGAGACTCGGTGTAAGGGGTAACAGCTTCGCCAATGTACTTGACAATCTCTGCAATGGTGCCAACAGCAGTGGAACGCTGAATATCCTCAGTTGAGCTAGCCAACTTGAGAACGGGCTTCTCGAAAATCTTCCAGATTTCATGGAAATCAGGCCCGAGCGCAGCAGCAAGGCCGACGACCACGTCAAGGGCGGTGTCAGTGACGAGCCAGTCGTACTCAGAGGATCCAGCATCAAGCTCAGGCTCCTCATCCTCGAAACCAAAGTCTTGCTGGCACTGGTGAGATCGCGTGACAATTGTTCCGACGACGGAGATGATCTCCTGCAATGCACCATCCTGCGCGACCAAAATAGAAGGACCACAAGCCTTGAGAGTGGCGGCGACATTTCGGTTGATGTCGGTCACCACAGCCCTAGTGCACTCTGTTAGTGAACAACTCATAGAAATGCTGCGAAGGTACAAATAGAGTGAAAAAATGGCATAAAATCAGGAGTAGATGTAACGTGTTCTCAGCAATCGCATTTTGCGTCTGAGTGAGCTGGGTTTAACGTATGATGCTCATCATATAATAGCCTTGAAATAAAAAGTTGGAAATGGTTCCGTGTACGTACCTTTCGTGCTCGTCAGGCCATGCCTTCAGAGTAGGGACCAAGATAGTCTGTGCAATAGTGATGATGGAAGGAGGGGGCGTTTGCTTGGGGGGCATACCAGGCTCCCATTTGGAGCCAGAGCCGTCCTCCCAAACCTGGAAGACACGGGCATAGATACGCCAGAGAGTGGAAATGGCAGTCTTGCGGCAGCCTTCGTACGAGTGGCCGGTAAAGGGGAGGACCTTCTCGATGGTCTTCTCAACAACAGTCTCGAGATCGTTGGTACCACACGAGTGGGAGATGATGTCGCCAAGAACGTCGAGAGCAATCTCCTGCTCAAGAGCCACGGCGGTGACAGCGCCAAGTCCCTCAAGATCTTCGAGATCATCCCAGTCATCATCACCCTCGGCCATTTCATCTTCCTGGTCATCAGAGGAGGCCTTGACCTTGATCTGCTTGCCGCCGACCACGAGGGAACCGTCGACGAGTCCGCTGGTATCCAGACCAGAGAGATCGATCTCTTCCTCTTCAAGCTCAAGGGAGTTAAATAGACCCTCAAGAGCACCCTTGAGGAAGTGGTTGAAGTCCTCCTTGTAGACCTTGGCAAGGTTGGACCAAAGAATAAAGCTGGTCTCTTTGAGACGAGGGTTGTCAATGCCCAGAGCCTCCTCACTTGCTTCCATCAGCTTCATGACGTATGGCTGGAAGGCTTCGGGACCAACAGCCAAAGCGATGCGACCCATGCTGTCGCAGGTAGAGCTTCGCAGCTCCAGAGCTTCATCATTCTCCTTGGCAACAACGAACTTTCCAAGAGCTTCCATGACATCGTTGAAGTAGGGGAGGAAGTCCTTCTCCATCGCAGCAGCAATGGCACCAAGAGCCGAGGCGGCAGAAGACTTGACGCCATAGTCTGAGTGGTCCAGAAGCCTGACCATGGGTCCCACCAGATTAGGTCCGTACTGAGCCATGATCTTGGTGTCAACACCATCACCGAGTGTGTCAAGGGCAGTGCAGGCAGAGCGGATAATGTTGATGTTCATCTTGTCGGAAGGACCTTCGGAAGCGGCCTGCAAGTTCTTCAGGACAGCATTGATAAGTTCCTCGTGGTGGGATACCATCTCATCCACCATCTCTTCGGAGAGGTGAATCAGACCAATCAGAGAGGCATATCTGACCTGAGTCTCGGCGTCGCTCAAAAGTCTAACAATGATAGGGAGGAGAGGCTTCAGCTGAGTGGAGATGAAGTCAGGGGCACCCTCGGCAGCATTACCGAGAGCAAGCATGGCGGCCATACGGAATTGAGGCTTCTGGTGAGCAGCGAAGATGGGGAACTGTTCCAGAAGGGGGACAATGACTTGACGGGGAGGAAGCTCGTTAGCAAGAGTATCGACAAGTCTGATGGCGCTGCGGGCAGGAGTAAGCTCCTCGTCATCGTCAGTCTCAATCTCGCCAATGATGTGCATGGCCTTGACCATGAGCTGAGAGCCCATATCCTTCATAGCCTGAATCTTCATGCGGCGGTAGCCAACCGACATGACGAGGAAGTTGATGGCCTGAGTACGCGCCTCCTCATCAACCTCGGTGTTGGCAGCAATCTCCAGAACCAAGTCGAGAAGATCCTTAAGGTGCTGACCCAGCAGGTTGGGGTCGTGAGCAACGAAGGTCTCGAATACCTCGAAGACAGTGTTGTAGCCCTCGCTGTCCTCATCCTGAATAGTAGCCTTGAGGATGTTGACGAGGCCAGGCAAGAAGCCCTGGAGAAGCTGTGTTGCCTGAGGGTCCTCCTCTGGCTCAACGAGAGGGGCAATGACACCAATCGCGCGAACAATGTTGACACGAACGTCCTTGCTCTCGGGGTCCTCCAGACGAGAGCCGCACAGCTTGAGCAAATCGTGGATGTGGTCGAGGAAGTGCATTGGGTTGTTCTCGAGCATGGCGTAAAGCAGGTATGAACCGGCCTCACGGATACCAACGTTGTCGTTGTTGCTCAGAGTAAGAAGCTGCTTCAAAAACTCCTCGCCCTCCTTGTTCTTGATGTCCACTCCAACAATACCAGCAATCAAGCGGCAGGCAGAGTGGCGCAGGTTGTTTGCGGTCTCCTTCAGAAGCCCATCGAGAAGGTGTGTGCGAGCAAGCTGGCGCTGGTCCTGGGCAGTTTTCTCGCCCCAATACTTGGGGACGAGGCGGAGGGCCTGCACGTAAGCGAGCTGGCGGACATCCTGAGCTTCGTTGGTGAGAGCGATCTCGATCAAAAGGAGAAGCGACTCGGGCTTGGAGTAGAAGTCCTTCTGGAGTTCGGCAGTGGCGGCCTTAACCTGTTCGGTGTTTGCTGCGAAGCCTCATAATTAGTAGCTGACCCAGACATTCTAATCACTGGCGGTAGTGACGCTTTGATGAAGGTGATTTGGAAGAAAGCACTTACGCACTTGACTGCCCTTGAGCAGCTGGACGAGCTTGGCCTTGTCCATCCTGTCGAGATTGCACGGTGAAAAGGGCTCGCAGATGGGAGTCTGTGCAAGGAGGACAGGAGGATTGGGGGGACACAGCGAGGCCTTTTAAAAAAAAATTGGCGGCGCGGGGCACAGAGCAACCAAACGCGTGGTGGGCGAAAAAAAATGTTTTTCTGCCCAAACAGACAGCCTCAGTTGAATTGGTGCCCCGCCCTGCCCCGCTCCTTGACAGCGAGTTCAATTTGGCTGATTAGCAGCGCCTAGCAGGTGCCTGGACATGAACTGCCAAAAGCAGCATCGATCCGCAAATCCGCTTACAAGCCAAGCCATCAAGCTGATGAATGAGGATGTGTAGGAGGAGTTCCTTCATGGAAGTGTGCCATAACCTTCTCTTGGGATTCCTCAACGTGAGAACTGGCAATACGTGGCATGCGCTGGGCAGATGCTAAGGCGCAGAGAATGGGCTCTGCAGCCTGGAAGAGGTAAATAGGCAGTGCTATGGTGTCTACGCCATAGGAGAACGTTCACTTCCAGTTGGTGTTAGTAGGAAACTAAGCCAGTTCTTGGGCTCTGGGGCCCATTGACCAAGACTAGATAAGTCATGATAGCCCTCAGTTTTATTCCTCGACACCATGATCACAGTTCCCACAAACTGAAATGATGCAGAACGGACCTGTCTTCCAGGTCGCCATTGCACCAATGTTGGACATAACAGGCGACTCCCAAAGAAAACATCCACTGTACATATGTATGTCTTGCAATCCCAGAAACAACGAACCTCTGCCCAGCCGAAATAGTGGAGCTTCGGACGGAGAGAAGCATTAGTGCCAATGCTCCCCATCATCTTTACTCTGTCCCGTGTCTTGGTGGCGAACACCCTTGATAGAGCTCTTCTCGTGATTGATTTCATGATACGAACACTGCCCCGTCGCTCATTCGTCGTAAAAACATGATGGCTTGTGTATCAGTAGCTCAATCCGAGGTGGGCTTTTGGGGAAGACACAAATGCGAGCCCTTCTTGAGCCTGTCGCAATCCAAGTCCTTGTTGGACCCTACAAGATCATCAACAGTGATACCTCGGCTGTGTGCAATGTCCCAGCAGGTATCCCCAGAGGCGATGGTGTAGTCCAATTCACCTTCTTGGCAAATCACTTTCGGGGGTGCCGACCAGCCAGACTTCGCGGCGGAGTGCAAATACCAGAAGAGGAAGACCAAAAACAGGCCGACCAAGATGAAGAAGTTGAGCAACGGCATCATTTCCGCACGCCAAGACGGTCGGAATTGCTGGTCGGATCCGAGGAACGGTTGAGCGTCATCATCGTCTTCAGAGACACGAGCTTCTCCGACACGCGTCAATCGACCGTAACGGTTGCCGGGAGCACTCTCCCAATAGCTCCCGTCCGCATCCTTGAATGTGTAAACTTCTGTGTCAGCATCGTAGCCGACTCGCGACATACCCTCCGGTAGTCGCTCCTCGTCCGTGTCATATTGCGAGAATCGTGACATTGTACACAGGTCTCGAGGTCAGATCGATGGAAAGTCACGATAGGAAGCGTAGCAAAATGATATGTCCGTTTCGTTTAGATGAGTGAGGGATGGTGGTTTCGATGAGTATGCAGGAAAGAGATGAAGGAAGGGAGGTCTCGTGTCAGCTGTTAGATATACCGACGTAAGGCGTCTCATGATGATTATATAATCAATTTCCTCCCCTATAAACGCGTCACACGAGTGTGGCTGGGTTACTGGGGTCTATGCCTCAAATATTGCATACCTTAGGTACATAGCTAAGTAGCTTCTGCCCAACGGATAAATGCCTAAGTTTTTATGCCAATACAAGGATGAGAGTAGCTCAATGTTCGCGGCGTACCTAGGGAGGCATCGGTTATGATACCCGACACTCGGAAGTTGGTAGGATTTCAAGACAGCCAACCCCCCTACTCTAGAAAAGCACATGTATCAATTTAAATCAATTGTTTTTCGTATGGGACGAATGATGGTATCATGAGCATCATTCTTTGGCAATATCGTCCTGGCGAGCTTTTGATTCAGCTTGATAAGGTCGGGTCCATGCAGCCAGCCATCGGGATACAAGCTTGAGCATGGGGTGTATGCTCGCTAAATCTGACAGTATTTGGGGCTGGAATACGAATGCCAGCCACCTGGAAGGCCACTATTCGACGAAGGCTCCGAATCCGGGGCATGCCCTTTTCATGCTTAGGTAGGTAGGTAGCCACTCTCAATGTTGCTGGACATTCGTTATCCAACCACTGCCCTAGAGAGCGTCGTGTCTAGCGGCCAGACTGCAGTTGAAGCACTTCCTGCAGACAGTGAGTGGCAGCCCAGGCCTCCCATCCCACCAGGAGCTCGGATATGGGAACAGAAGGAAATAATCGAATGTTTTCTTCTCCACGTCCTTTGGCGAGTGTACGGTAGACAAGAATGATCTCCAACACATATTTCTAGCTATGGTGACATTGGGTTCCATAACGGTATCCCCCGTTCGGCGATGGACCGCTTGGACCATCGCATCCCACGGGCCGACCACACCATAATCAACATCCACTTGGCGACGAAGCTAATGGCATCTTGAAAGAACCAAAAATAAAATAAAAAAGAGTAACAATAAATGGAATTGTTGCATCATTACAGATGTTTTCGCTCTTCTTATTTCAGATGTGGTTGTGTAGAAGACCTGAAAAGAATGGTCAACGCGTGGAATCACCTTCATGTTGTTTGCAACTTGAGGCTCCGTCTCCAACTCCCCGCCCCCAGGCTAGTCTTACGTTCCTACTGCGTACCTAGGTATTTATATTAATAAATATCTCTCCAATAGTAGCAATCGACCCTTGCCATATCGCCCGTTAGTGAAAGGTCGAAAAAATGAAACACATCTCCGATCGCCAAAGGGGAAAATCGGGTCCATCTTTAAATAATACTGCAACCACCATCCCACCAGATGATAAGGTATATAACAATCAACCTTCCCAAAGAAACATTACGTCGTCCACGCACTGCACTACACAGCGTCAATCTCTTACTTTACTTCATTTCTTAATTATAATCAGGCGGGCTCCTGTGACATCTTTCACACCAATCTCTTTCCATTACACCTGTGCTTGATACCCTTCATCCTTTTTCCTCTTTCAGCTACCCACAGTCATTCTCAACATGTTTCCCAGGTATGAACATACATTTAAGCAGCACATATTCCAAGATAAGAAGCTAACCAATTCAAGGAAACTCTTTTCCAAATACTACGGATATACATCCGCCACCAAAAAGACAGAGGAGCAGAAAGCTAGACCCCAGCCCATCCGAACAACCTCAAGCTACAACTACATGCCTCTCTTGGACCCCGAGGACTACATGGAGCCATCCACTCCTCGTTACGCCGCCGTCAGCTGCTGAGCAGCTACAATAATATTTACCCTCACAAGTACGCTGGCTCGGCTTGCACGATATTACGAAATTAGTCGGCGTTCTCATTGCCCCACAATTGTTATGAAAGGATCAAAATCAAATTCAGACTTCGAATGATGAGGAAGATGCCGTGTGTTATGCAGATTACAGATTAAAATGAAACAAAAATTCAAAAAGATTCTATTATCAAATAAACCATATGAAATCAATCCAGAGGTGATTTAGCTCAACGTGTTGCTCATTATATTTGCATCAACCGCCGGCTCATCTTAAAATGGCACTCCCGTCGGCTCGCGGACACCAACTGATGCCAGCGCGATCGCCCTATTCAATGCATGCTTCCCCAGAAACCAGATCGCCACAGCAGCAGCGCATGACAGTGCTGTCACCTTTCATTCAGGAATCAAAGTCGTGAAGCAGCCTGCTCAAGCAGCTTTTTAAGGTGAAAGAGAGGTTCTTAGCCAGCCATCAAGTTTTACTACCTAGCAAGTGGGTGACATTGAAATCGAGGCACTCAAACAATAAGCTGCTTATTCTCAAGTCTGCGACCGGTATTCTCGGATTATTGAGTCCTAATAATATATAATACTGTATCTATTACTTCTTTCTTCTATTTTTATACTACTAAAATTCTCTGTTTCTTGCAGAAAGTAGTCAATTCATAACCAACTCTTCCATTGGTATCTCATTTCTCTTGTCACCTACTTGCCTAGGTACCTAGGTACTGCCAGAGAACTTACGAAATAGATGATTCTGACGTCAAAATGCTTCTATCTACAGGGCTCATTCCTCTTCGTCTCATTCATCTTGCACCTCGATCTAGATGCAACTTCATCCTTTGAGGCTCAAAATTCAAGTTTCAGCTGATGCTGCGCGGATCCGGAACCGAGGTTTGTTTTCGTGTTATCGACCATTAATGCGGGGCACAGTTGTGTCCCGGTTCACCAACCCCTTATAAATACCTATACTATACCTGGTCATTCAGCCGTATTGGACTACGATGGCTCTTAATTAAATAAATAGATAATTGCTTCTCTAACTTATTTCACGAGAGGACGAGCTTGCGTGAATCGATATGGCCACAAAACCAACGGTCCCACTGCCATTAGGAGAGGTAGCCAAAGCTCACAAGCTCAGCAACAGTGTCTATGAAGTAGACCTAGTGCCGTCGTACTGTGTCGGGACAGGTAAACGCATTTCCCAAAGTTACTAAAGTTGCATCACAACTGACATACAGGATAGTGCCCAATGGAGGCTTCGTGGCGACCCTTTTCTCGGTTGTTGCCAGCCAACACCTGGCATCTCGGAACCAACCACATACACTGGCAGCACAATGGTCATTCCTCAATCGAACAGCGGCCGGAAAAGCCTATATTCGAGTAATCGAGTCAAAGCTTGGGCGTGCATCATCAGTCCTCCATCTCAGCCTTCATCAGGATGGTCTGACTCCTCACGAGCCTTTCATCGCACCCGAGTCCCAGCCCAAGGTCGTTGCATACATCACCAACACAAACCTTGCAGAGGAGTCCGGGGTAACGCTACCAACCGGATGGACACTCGACCACCCACCGCCCAAGGTAGATTTGGAGAAGCTGGTCTCTGGCACAGACCCCAACTGGGAGCGTTTGATCCACCCGTTGACGAAGGCGGTGCCCATGCTTAACAACTTGGAATACTACCATCAGCGTTCGGGCCATGCCCTCCCTACAACGCATGACTACTGGATCCGATTGCCATGCGATGAAAATTTTACACTGGCATCACTGGGATACGTTGCGGATGTGGGACCACCGCTTTTGATTGAATCATTTCGCCCAGCTTCGGCAGATGCGCCTATACCTCCCGGCGGGTTTGCTTTTAAGAAGGCGTTTTGGTATCCTACACTCACGATGACCTTGGACGTTCGGAGGGCGATGCCACCCGAGGGACTGCCATGGCTCAGATTGCGGGTGGCGGCGAAGGAGGTCTTGAATGGCAGATATGATGCTGAAGTGCTAATATTCGATGAAGCTGGAAGGCTGTTAGCACTCAGCAACCATGTAGCCATGGCCTTGGATATATCTAGAAATTATGCTGAAAGGCGACCCAAACAGAAGATATAGACCGAATAGAGAGGTAGATGCAGATAGCGGCGGATTTTCGGGGTCTTCGAATGACCCGGATGTAGTATCATCAACGTAGGTAGAATCTGCAAGCATTGGTCAAATCTAGACCAGTGCATTCGAGTTCCACAGCACCTACCTTAATTCAAATGAAAGGTGGAGGGGGAGGTTGGGCGAGAGAAGATGGGGAAAGATGCCCGTCGCTAGTCACGATTTTACAGAGGCGAACGGATTCTCTGAGCACTCCAAATTTTTTTTCCTATCACCACCAGATCTCTTAATATCTGAAATACAGTCCAATACATGCTCAACTTTCGGATTTGTCTCGATGAAATCGCTTTTTTCTAATCACCATACGTCCTCAATCCACAGAGCGATACACACCACCTGTAATTACCTACCAATCCCGGGTGCGTTACCGTGACCAGGGCATGGGTTTAGACTGGGGAGCAGCTCCCAGGATGCAGGATGAAGCACCGCTGACAAACAAGCTCCCGCCACATGGTAGCTCAGCTCCGATCCCCTGGACTGAACGGCATGTGGGTGGTCAGGGCCGTTTCCCCCCAGCCTTGTCCGATGTGGTTTGCCAACCATAAAGTCGCCTTGTGTCGCCTTGGCTCCAATTCCCATTGGAGGTCAAGATAGGCATTCGTGGCGAGCGATGCGGGTACTATCTTTACCTAGTCAACAGTCTGGGGGATCAATCGATGTGACAGCCTCCATGCTAACCATAGGAGAGGACATTCGTTTCCTCGTTACGTCCATCCCGCCATTCGATCCGATCCTCAGCTAGGACAATAGGTCGCGAACCCTCACCGTTCACCATGGGGGACGGCAATCAAACAGAAATCGTTGTAGCGGCAGCAGCTCTAGTGGTCTCTGTTATCGCTTTTGCCGCTACATTGATGCAATGTCTCCAACAGTACCTTGGCTCTGCTCGAGGCTACTCACACTGCAACCCCAAGGTCATGGGGGATTGGGCCCAAACGAAGTCCCGACGGTTCTCGCTCAAAGAACTCCGCTTCGAAGTGCAATTCGACGCACCCGTTATATTTGTTTGTGCCCCCAACAACAAGAAGGGCCCGGTACCGGAGGCAGATGTCTACAAGCTTGACGGGACGGAGGAGAGTTTGAAGGATACATGGACCACCTTGAATATGAGCCAGAGAAAGGACTACGAAGACAGAAACCGCAAGGAGCGCATCCATACATCTGATAACGAGCGAGCATCCTGGACGATACTGCTATCGGCCGTCCAATGCATGGAGAAGGAGTCCCGAGAATGGCAGGAGGAAGAGTTCGACTACCAAGGATCCCCATCGCCGCCCCGAGCCTCCCTCCCGGAACTGGGGCTACCACCCACGCCTCCGACTCTCGAGCAGACCCATACACTGGTGGTTGCATTACAAAAGAAGCGAAAGAGCTGGGATACCATGCCTGCCAATATTACAAAGCCCTACGCAACGACCACCATGTGCCATCTGATCGAAATAACTGCTGCCCTTGGAGTCTATTGGAAGGTCTTTGACCGAATCAGTGATCGCTATCGTGCTGAGGGGAACGGTTTCATGGTTCTAGGAGATCGGGTCAATGATCTGGGCCTCCTGTTTTCCTTCCAGGTCAATGGTATGTCACGATTTACTCGGAACCGTGTCATACCTGTTGATGAGGTCAAGGAACTCTGCTTTGGATGGGTTCCAACCATCTACCGCTCTACACAAGACAAGAGAAGACTCGAGATTCCACTTGATGTGCTCGATCTGAGCTCACTCCAACTGGCTAGCCGGGTTGAGATCTCGGAAACCCTTACAATGATAGGGTGCAATAACAACGTCACCAAATATTTCAATGCGAACCGACGATTTTCGCATCTTTTCAGCTGTAAGAAGAAACAGATCCCCGGCGCCAATTATGTAGCTAACATGTTGCTTTTCTCAGTATCCTTTGAAATTTTGGCTATGTTAGCCCAGACATTTCACATCGAAGACACCCTTTTTACTTTTCTACCAAACCCGACCCCGGACCGTTGGGACAGCAAGGCTGTGTCTCTTCCCAAGTTACTCGAGGCCTATGAGCTCAACTTCAAAGAGGAGCTTACAAACAGGGTTCCTAGGAATCGTACCATTGTAAACAGGCTAAAGCACCACATGGAAAACATCATTCGCCAGTATCGCAAGGATGGAACTGTGGCAGAGACCCTCCTACGGTTTAGAGCGCTGCATGCGGCATTGGACGACACTGATGAGATCCTTACTGGCAGAAAAGCAGCAGCAAAAAAGGAACCTGAGCAGGGAGTCAACCCACGTGCCAATTTGGACCCTCGGCCGCTTTCTCCGGCCAAAACCCTAGAACGAATTGGAACTTTGTTTATAGGTACTACGAAGAAGAGTGACGCCTCCGCAAAGCGAACCGGGCTTAAAAAGCCCATCAAACGCGATCCTCCAGGACTAAATAAGGAAACGGAGGAACAGCAGCGAAGAAGGGAGATTGTGCAGGATGTCCTTCGGTCTCATATTCAGGAGGTTCTTCGTCTGCTCAACGAGCCGGATGAGCGCAAGGATCAACAAACTCTTCGTGTACCAGAGCAAGCCAGGGGCCGATCGAGAGATCCTTCACCATCCGTATCGTCACAGTTTGATGATGTCCCAACGTTCGAGAATATGGACGGAGCAAGCCCGGATGACAGACAGCACATCATGATGGACGTGTACTTCAAACGTGTACGTCGGCTAGTGGTGCCGCATGCCACCCAGTCAACGGACAATCGCCGGGCCGGGCGAATTAACTCGCCCTCCGGGCGCCGGGCGAGCATCGATTCTCAATCCAGCGCCATCCGCTCAACCATTGATAATTCTCCGACGGCAGCAGTATCTGTACCGCCTCAGATCAATGAAGAGGTGGCCGAGGGAGACAATGGCGATCCTACTACAGTCGGCCGCTCAGCCAATAGTTCGGAGACTGTTCGCATCAATGGGTTAGCAGCTGAGAGGCCGAGTGCCACGGCTATTTCGACCCCGTTACCCAGCCTGGCGGGAGAGGCTGTGTCTCATGATGATGTGTGGTGCACGCTTGTGTTTCGTATGATCTGCTGGTTGATGTTGCATGACTTCAATAAGTTGGACAAACAGGTGGTTAAAAGTGAGCTGCTTGGCAGCAGAATGCCGGTTTACATTTCATAATCTACTGCAGGGGGCATTCTATTTCTGGACATGATAACGACGAATGATTTACGACAGGCATTACTCTAGAATGGGCATGCGAATATAGATAGGTAGTTATTCATTTATATTGGAGTTATTGATCATGTACAAACTGCATGCCGGACAACGATGGTGAACTAACTCAACATCATGATCAAATATATATCAAAAGAACCGCATAATGACTGACTTGCCAATAACAATCGGCATTTGTAAACACACAACATGCTACACGCATCGTAATTTATTTGTCGTATGTTTTATCTTTCATTGACGTGTTGGTCTATACAACTCTATGCTTCTCTAGGGTAGTGGGGTGATTTGGCGTAACACGGATCGGTTTCTGGCCTCATATCTGGGGATGGGTACTCGGCAAGGCGTTCGTATCTATCGGGGAGGCGTTCGTACACAAGCCCTATGGCTTCTGACACAGTCTGATATTTCGGCCTAGCAATTTTCACTGGAGAATCATACAATCGGAACGGCCGTCGCCACTGATTCAAGGCGAGTGGCTTCACGTGATGGCTATGGTGTGAGACAGTGAGGCGGTTACCGCTTTGGGCAAGGTGGGGAATCGGCCATGGTCGAGGAATTCACTGGGAAAAGCCCTCTAGCCTTGATCTAGCCGCCGGGACCGGCACCGAGCCCACCAACCTCAGGGTCCAGGGCCGAGTGTACCCACTTCGAGGCAAGTATCGACGACACAATTGGTACCTGGCTTTACCTCATACAGGGCTTTGTTGTAAGCGCCGCGGGCTCAGGCTGGCTCCTTACATTAGCCCGAAAGGGGCTGACATTGACTAATACTTGTTTGTTTGAGGCGAAGAACGTGCAGGAATAGCATTGCCGTAGAATATTTGCGGCATCCTGCCATGAGAATCCGAGACGTGAGTTGAACAAGGAGTGGAATGATCTCGAGGTCATATATTGGATTTTGTGCAGTCTTTTAAAGCTAGGCACTGGGCTGAACGGTAAACAAAACGGCAGGCATGGGGGAAGAGATCGAAATCGTAAATCACCTCAGCTGATAACTATTATACCTCAAAACCATATAGCGGCGCAGTTACGACGCGCCCGTTGCGCCCGCCCGTTATATGCACTGTAACTGCCCTTCAATAGGTGCGCGTGCGAAAAGAGTGGCAGCCAACAGCCTGGTGAAGTCTTTTTTCTTCCCCGCGTCAGAGGAGTTGCCGGATGAAGCCCTCTGCCGACACCGGGCGCTCTTGAGTTCTCCGTCGTCTACCCCGGAAAATCTACTATGCCATTCTCTGGACAGACCTATTTTTTAGAAAGAGCCTTGGCCGTTCACTTGAAGAATGGAATTTGCTCCAATGACGTAGCGTGAATTCTGGCTCTCGCGACCAGCCCGAGTACATCCATTAGTCATCTTGCCAAAATCGCATCTAGTAGAGCGGAGCCGGGGTCTGCATCGTGATTCGGTGGTGGATTGGCATCCTCTCCCACGATCCCCTCGATTTTAATCTCAAAGGCTTTGTTTATCCCGGTGGCTGATGCCAAGGCCAGCGCATGCTCCCTGGGCCAACCTGGAGGCAAGCAAGGGATAATAATGGCAAGACAGCTGGGCGGGGACCATCCAATAGAGGGAAAAAAAGGAACAAGAAAAAGAAAAGCACGACCGCTCCCTTCAAGCAGGGCAATGCCGATCGGGGCAGTGACAGGCATAAGCCAGTTGCCGAAGCCCCCAGGTCGAGGGACGAAAATTCCAAGAGAAAAGCATGATGGTCGGTCGGGGCCGCCAGAAGCAGAATCTGGGACAGGCGCTGGGAGAGGAGAAGGGCCAGCGCAGCCGACAGTTGAGCACAGACCACCACAGCGCCTGCCACTTGTACTTGGCTGGACATTTCGCCCGCTGGTGACTTGCTGTCTTTGTTGGTCCTTGTCCTTTCTCTCGGCCTTGGGCTCCGCTCCACATACATCCATACCCATCACTCCACCACTCCACCCACGTCCATTCCCGGTTCTACTGCCTCAGACCTGAGAATCCGTTCCCTTCCAACGCTACCAACCACCGCAGCCCACAATCAACCCCCTCCTCGACCAAGAGGCGGCTTGATACGCGGTGATAGCATCACATTCTCGAGCAATCCTCGACAAGCACCTTCATTTTCCTTTATGATTGTTTCCTTCTCTTCCGGATTCTGGGCGCGTTTTGGTTCTCACCGTGGTCCCTTTTTTCGTATCGGGCCCGGCAATCCTACGCATCGCCCGTGAGCACGCTGCCGTCCCTGGCATCCGCCGAAACGATATACATAGTAAACCACCAGCCGTCAGCCGTCGAGGTCGCTTGTATCCCCTTGGGACCGTTATCTGGATAACGACATTTTGGCCCAACATTCGTCTTGCCGCCTAGTCCACGAGTCCCATCTCCAGACCAGACCCTTGACAGGACTCCCTCCCTCGTTGTACTCGACCTTCCTTGTTCTTCCCTCCGACTAGCAGAACCACTCGACATGATGACGCCCGTTCCTGGAAGCCCTGCTGGAGAGACTCGGCTATCGAAGACGCCCTCACAGACTGTTGCCGTGAACGTAGCCGAGACCGGCCAAGAGAGTCCGAGACGATTTCAACTCGAGATGAGTGAATGCGTGGAGACCAAGACTGTAACAACAACGACTCGCCTCACACGCAAGTTTCCACATGTATTTGTACGAAATCCTACACCTCTCGAATGTCTCGATTCCAAAGAGTACCCTCTGGCCCTGAAGCCGGCGCCTCCTGAGATCGCCGACTTCTCGTATAATATGCCCTTCGAGGAGGATATTGCCGAATCCATAGACACAGATGTGATCACTATCGTGAGTTAACCCTTATTTCCATTGCTTTCGTTTTTTCTACAAGACGGAGGTTGCTAATCACGCATCACTAGCCCTCGCAACAGTCGTCGAAACAAGTATCCGAAGACTCCTTCACCAGTAACGCCACCAAGCCAGAGCCATTCCGTCATGGCACTCCGACCTCAAATCGAGTCCTACGCCCGTCCTCAGTATCGCCTTCGGAAGCATACCCTCGCCGCTCTAGACAAACTCGCTCGCAGGGAGCAACCTCCGAGCCCTCTGGCGAGCGGCGGCAAGCACGAAACGCGCACCTTAAGGCGGTGTCAGATAAACTTCGTCGGTCGATAGCCCACGGGAGCAGCAGTACAGGAGCCAGCAGCTCATCTGCTCAACACCCATCCCTGAGACAGACCCGAGGGTCCTCCAGCTTTCTCGCAACCCCAGACTCATCTGAGATAGTAGAGACCAGCAGTGCGGAGCATCCAACTTCTTCTCGTACCCGGAATCTGCACCTCCTTCGCCCTAGAAACTCCCCAGAGCCTCAGCAATCTGATGCTGCCAGCCCGATCCCGAGCGAGTCGAACCTGACTTTTTCCAGTAATGTGGCGACACCGCCAATCACTGATGCCGACGCAGAGCCTTTAACCGACAGCGAGGACATGCTACGGCATTCCACCCGCCATATTCGACATTCGAGGCCGTCTGTTGACGTAGTAGCCGCGCAAGATGCTAGTCTTCCTAGTCCCAGATTATCTCCTACTTTGGCTGCCGCTCAGCTGCACTCAGCTGAACAAGAGATGGATGATGGCACACAGCCCAGCAGCTTCCAGACAACTACCAGTGATGGAAGTCTTTGGATGGATGAGTCCCAAATTAAGGATGAGGATGAGCCTTCCATGGAATTGGTGCCCGCTAAGAGCCGGGCCCTCACTACCAGGATGAAGCAACCCGAAAGCTCTCCTGTCGTTGTCGATCCTCAGATGCTACTGGAAGCGTTCGATTCGATGAAGCCCGAGATGAAAACTTTCATGATGTATCAGTTCCTTCGACGCTGCGCCCGACCCACTCTCCGTGTTGTTGCCAACGCCGTTAACCCAGCCCTGAAGTGCGACTTCTTCTTTCACTTGCCTCTCGAACTCAGCTATCATATTCTCTCTTATCTGGATCATCAGGATCTTTGCCGCGCTGCACAAGTATCTAGAAACTGGCGCAACATCGTTGATCGCAACGAGACCGGGTGGAAGGAGCTCTTCGATCGCGATGGCTACCAACTCCCTGTTGGCGAACTGGCGAAGGCGATCACACAAGGATGGGGTTGGCAAGATCCTGTGGGGGCCACAGGATTTGAGAAAGATCTGAGTATGCAGAGTCGCCTCACCTCGTCTGAATATGAACTCACCAAATCGGTGAGGCAAGAAGCACCCAAGTCAAGGGCCGCCTCGAAGCGGAAGCGTGGTCTCAACACATACTCGGCCTCTGAGCGCTCAAAGCGGCGGGCTAGTGCGCAGGATGCTTCCTCAATGCGTGACGATAAGAGCGAAGTCAAGCAACACCGAAGTGCTGGGCCGTTATCTGCAGCCAATTCCGCCGCTGCAGCAGTGCCTGATCCCCATCTCGGTCTCCCAAGCCTACGACAGCTTCATCTCTTCAAATCCCTGTATCGACGTCACCACATGATTCGACGAAGCTGGACCAGCGGTGAGGTGAGGCCGGCACATGTCGCCTTTGCCGCACACCCCCGTCATGTCATTACCTGCCTTCAGTTTGACGAGGACAAAATCATCACTGGTAGTGATGATACCTTCATTCATGTTTACGACACGAAGACTGGGAAGCTGAGAAACAGGCTTGTGGGACATGAGGGTGGAGTTTGGGCATTGCAGTATGAGGGCAACATTCTGGTGTCCGGTTCCACAGACAGGTCTGTCCGAGTCTGGGATATTGAAAGAGGGATCTGCCAACAGGTGTTTTACGGACACACTAGCACTGTGCGCTGCCTGCAGATTCTCATGCCAACGCAAACCGGCAAGGATGCGTCAGGAAAGGCTATCATGCAACCTGAGAAGCCTCTGATCATCACCGGCTCTCGAGACAGTCAGCTCAGAGTCTGGCGTCTGCCAGAAGTCGGATCTAAGCGGTATTATCAGACAAGCCTGACAGGCTCAGAGTCTGACTGCCCGTACTTCATCCGTGCTCTCATTGGCCATTCGCACTCCGTTCGCGCCATCTCAGCCCACGGCGATACGCTCGTGAGCGGTTCCTACGACAGTGTTGTGCGAGTGTGGCGTATCAGCACTGGCGAATGCGTTCATACCCTCCACGGACATTCTCAAAAGGTGTATTCGGTTGTGTTGGACCATGAACGTAATCGCTGTATTTCAGGATCAATGGATTCGTTGGTCAAGATTTGGGATCTTGCTACCGGGGCATGCCTCTATACTCTGGAGGGCCACACACTTCTCGTCGGGCTGTTGGATCTTCGCGACGAACGCCTTGTGTCTGCCGCTGCTGACTCCACCCTGAGAATTTGGGATCCGGAAACCGGGCGCTGCAAGAACACACTCATGGCTCATACGGGAGCCATTACCTGCTTCCAGCACGATGGCTCCAAGGTCATCAGCGGCAGCGAGAAGACGGTTAAGATGTGGGACGTCAAGACTGGAGAGTGCATTCAAGACTTGCTCACAGACCTTAGTGGGGTCTGGCAAGTCAAATTTGATGGGCGCCGATGTGTTGCAGCCGTGCAACGGGATCAGTTAACATATGTCGAGGTAAGTGTTTCCCCTTTACGTGTCTCCGTTTGTGAATTTCAAGTATCTAATTGTGTTTCTAGATTCTCGACTTTGGTGCTGTCCGTGATGGCCAACCACCGGAGGAACTGGGGCGACGTGTCCTCCTTAACGAGGATGAAGTTCAGGCTATCATGGAGGAGGAAGCCTGAGCTAATGACCGTGCCCTTCTCCCTTGTCGCCCCTGTCGTTCATTCGTTTTGTTTTCCGTTTCTTTTCATATTCGTCTACGACCACCTCAACAGCATGGGATTAATGTTATGGACTGTTACTGCAGGATGCTAATCAGTCGAGCATCTGTAAAAAGGTTACAAGCATGGGATACCCGGTACTTATCAAATATTTGGGCGTTTTTTAGTCATCATCATTCAGAGTTAAGCCTTTCGACCGGCTCGAAATCCAGGAATCCAGTATGGCGTTGGAGCATGGCATTATTGTGAGAAAAATGGAGGGAAATATTCTTGGTCTGTTCACATTTGATATTGGTTTAACCCAGGCCTAAGTGCCTTGAGGGAAAAAAAAAGCTACTTTTTGTTCTTTTCCAAGCTTGACGGTTCGAGGATGCTACAGAATCATGTTTATAACCACCACATAGTTAGCGTTGTTTGTTACTTGGGACCAAATATAATTGTGTAACTATAACCATGATGTATTCAGCCTCATCCATGAGAGTGATGTTATTTTGTGTGTGAGGTAGTCATGTACCTACCATCAATGTAGGATGACAAGGATACAATTAGAAGTAGGTTGTTATCATCAAGGAACCGACGGTACTAAATCAAAAGTCTTTTTATGTATGTATGTTCCGTTCATTTATCAGAACAGGGGAAAGAACTTCAGCTTGGGACAAGTGTCCGGCCACAGACACTGCTGATGCATATTGTTCTCAATGCTTGCAATCGACCAACTGAAACCCCTATCGTATGGCTTTATGGTAGAATATATAGTGATATTGACTATCAGATGTGCTTTCTTATTATTCTACACCACAGATGCTCCGTATTTGTTACTTGTTTGAGATGATGAAGGATCACCGACGAGCCAGTTTCACTGCTCGTAGCTGAGCAGTGAGATATGTAAGGATAGTTATCTATCGTACTCTGAGTATAAATACGCGTTTGATTTAACGGCTGAATCCTGAGGAGCCTCAGAATCCGTGTCGATACGACATGGATGGTGCGGCGGGCTGGTATGCATCTCCATATGCTCACTTTTAAAGCTACATGAGCTAAACGAGTGATTTGGCCTGCTGTTTGTGACTAGTTTGGTTTCTATAATGATTTTGCATTGGCAGTCAGCCAGCGAGTCGGCATCAAATAACGTTGATTGGGAGCCCCGGCCACGATTCACAAGCCGCCATCTTTGTCAATATCGATCATTAGCTTGACAGTGGGGATTCTGGCCTTTCCTCACGATCTAGATACGCAAATCTCCGTTCATATCTGTAAGGCTATTCTTCATCAAATTGAATAAGAAACAAAGGCGTGGAAGGGGTCAGGGCGCAAGGCTGTTAGCTGAGAGAAGGTCATCCGCTACTGGACCGATCGTCGGTTGTCACTCATCACATTTGTCAGAGCCCGCCAACCTGAATAGCATCGATCGCTCATATCTACGACTATACCTGTCTACTTCTTGTCTGACAGGCTTCTCCTTGATTTTTTGGACTTCTAACCAGACTAACCGTCTGGTTTTCTGCCTGCTCATGTCCCTGTACTCTAGGAACGGACAAACAATACCTAGTCCGCTAGTAAGCAGGTCTCATGACTATCGTCAGTTGAGGGATTTTCGATCTTTTTTTCTTGACATCGGAAGAGATTCCTCGCCAGAAACATTCACACCGATCCTCGGTTTCTGACTGTCCGCTCGAGCATTTGAGCTCGAAGTGGCACAACCCAAGTCCGCTCCTTCTCCCCACAACCGCCCCTGCTCGACCTCCCTCCATTTCCCTAGCAACTCCCTGGCTCTCTAGCTTAGGTAATCACCTCCTTCTCAAGCCTCCGTGATCGGATTCTTCGCGGGATAAGGGGGGGACAATAGGATCAATAGACGTAAAGCACCTGGGATACTATGGCCTCACTTCTATAGTAGAAATTATCAATCTACCCAATAATCCACGCTGGCGTAATTGGTGCCACGTTCTGTTGACACGATGTATGTGTACGAACGGCCGGGGTTTTACCGACGAATGGCTTGCCCCGTCGCCTTAGTCATCATCGATACGGGTAGGCTAAAATAATCCCAGCCCACAAACAAACTTCCTCCTCTGCTTCTTTTTCACGCGTCTTGCATCATATTGTGTAAAGCCGGGTCCTGCTCGTTGACCTTTATGTATGGTAGGTGATTTCCATCGTTCTCTCTCTTGCAATGCCTCTACCAAGCATCATGATGATTGTTTCCATCGAGAAATACCGCGGCTTATGACACTCGAAAGAGTTTTTGATTACAACCATATATACAACAACATTTCTGACAAAATGCTTCCCATCTTTCTTTGCTCAATCACGGCTTTCACTTCCTTGCGGGCTTGCGCTAATATCGCATAGACACTAGGTCCTCGAGTCGACTTCTTTCCCGCTATTCGAAGCAACAATCAACTTCGACCGGTCGATTATACAATGCTAAACCTGCCAGATTCTAGCCTCAGCCAGCGTCTCTCGGGAACCCGGGGTAGGTATCGATGCGTCTTGACTCTTCCGTAGCGATGTATGTTTGGGTCCTCTGATAGCCAATATTGGTTGCATAGTGCCCACGAGCTTCATCGTTACACCTCCATCCTGTCGCCTACAATTTGGTCTTATTTACCGTATTAATGGGGCTGCGAGGAAGTGGAATGACGGCAATGTTTTCCCCTAAACTGGGGATAATCGTGTGCTTCTCTGTTTGGCCTATCATAATCGATGAGGCGTTACTTGCCCGTATCATCTTAGCACTTCCGTAAACCACCTTGTCGTAGGGCTAGAAAGGAGGAGGTAAACCTCGTTGAATGAACCCCAATAACATTTTCGTGGGAAGATGAGCCCATTAGGCTGGACTGCCAACTCGTGATGAGATTGGCGAATAGTGTCTTGGCAAGCGATAAAGGGGTACCTTAGGCTTACGTCCTGCAAATAGCGGTAGTTGATCGAGAGGGAGCAACCCCAAAAAACTACCTGAGGCATGTAGCGCGTGCATGAGAAACTGTTTTGGCTCAAATGAGAGACTGCAGTCGCGGCTTCCGGCGGGTGGCACGAGATCACGTAATTCATGCCACGGTTACTTTGATTGGTATAGAAAGAATCAGCGCGGCAGCTTGTCTCAGTTGAGTGGAAAAAGGAAATCATGTACGTAGGTACCTGGCACACGAATCGTCATGATTAAATGGAGAAGAACGGCAGTGGAAAGCATCTTTGATCCTGGGCCTCACCCCGTAGGGTAGCTTTATCAGGGAGATTACCATTTACGAAAAGCCCACCGAAGTCTTTCAACGTCACTTGGCAGAATGCCTCTCTTGAGTTCATCGCCCCGTTGACTTCAACGTGATTTTTTGAGGTCAAGTTGGTCGAGTTGACCAGTTTCATTGCCGGTGTTTGATCCCGGACCGGAATGTTGTCACGTCTTGCTCTTCGCTATGGCTCTTCAACTCCCACTGAAGCTCTGGCCAACGAGCTCCCGGCCGGTATACTCACCTAGTGTGGCTACGAGCAATAGGTCGTGCTCGATAGATGTTCATGATACGTTTGGGCCGACAGTGGCATACTCGTGTCTTAATGGCTTCGATTTCACGCTGCTTTTTGAAGAGAGTGTCCTGACTTTATTGCCACTTTTGCTCACCGGTACGGGGACGACAGAATACTGTCTTCTCCCTCCTCTTGTCTAGAGATTGTTCGCTAAGCCGAGTTACCAGTTGTGATACTCGTCCCCCGCGCGATTTTACTTCGCAAGACTGCCCCGAAGGCCAAACGATCATGGCTGTTTGCTCTGAAATGTGTACTTGAACACTTGACTCATGTCATACGCGGATAAGTGGCGGCTAATAGGTCAATTCTCTAGGTGACATATTCCATCTACATCGTGCTACAGATCGTCTTTCTGGCTCTTCTGGTTCGACAGGACACTCCATCCACCAGACTCACCGTACCGCTGGTAGTCACCGTCGTGGTTAGTTTCATCTGGCTTCTCTATGTCTCATATCTGGAGCATGTCCGATGTGTGAGGCCGTCGACCATTCTTTGCCTCTATTTCGGTATCTCTGCTCTGCTAGATTTGGCGCGTTTGCGTACCCTCTTCTTCATCCCGAACTATCATATAGCGGCACTGGTCAACCTTGCAAGCTACGCTGTGAAGTTGGTGTTGTTGATCCTGGAAGTCACTGAAAAGCGAAGTCTGCTGTTGTGGCAGTGGAAAGATTCGTCTCCCGAAGATGTCGCCTCTTACTACAGCCGAGTCTTATTCCTCTGGCTCAACCGGGTGTTTATCAGGGGATACAACACGCGTCTAACTGTAGACAGTTTGACGCCTCTGGACCAAGCTATTTTGACCGCTTCTCGGCCTACAAAGTTGGAGCAGAGGTGGGCGAAAGGTGAGAGCTCCTTGGCTGAATTGGTCCTCTCTATGACAAGTCTCTTCTTTAACACGCATACGTTGTAGCCGAAAAATCGAGCAAGGGCGCTTTGCTTTGGGTCTTTGTATGTCATTACAAATGGGCCCTGTTGGGTGGTGTGTTGCCGCGCCTCACCTATATTGCATTCACTTTCGTCGAGCCGTCACTCGTGGAGAGAACCTTGAATTTTACCTCGGAACCTGAGAGCCCGAACTCAACAAACATAGCCTACGGCCTCATCGGCGCGTATGCTCTCGTCCACCTTGGCAAAGCGGTACGATCGACTGCTGAACACTCTCTTTGCCATCAATGTACTAATAGGTTCCCACTATGTAGATGTCGCTAGCCTGGTACGAGCACATGACATATCGCGCCCTGACACTGTTTCGCGGTAGCCTTGTCACGTTGATCTTCGGCAAGACTCTTCGCCTGAGCACCAGTGCTGTCAAAGACGCCGAGGCCATCACGCTGATGAGCGCCGATATCGATCGAATCGGTCTTTCCATGGAGATCATTCACGATGCTTACGCCGCGGTCGTAGAGCTTGCCTTGTCTCTTTGGCTGCTCTCTAGGCTGCTCGGCATCGCAGTTCTGCCTCCTACCTTCTTCATTGTCGGCAAGTATAACCCGGCTCTTGTTCGTAAGCTGAGACGGATGCTGACATGCTAAAAAGTGTGTCTTGGATTTGGAATTCCCATTGCCTCTGCCGCTGGAAACGCGCAGGTGCCATGGCTCGAGGCGATCGAGAAACGCTTGGCCGTGACCTCCAAGATGGTGGGGACGATGAAGGTGATTCGAATGACCGGCTTGACAGACATCATCCACAAGATTGTTACCAGTCTCAGAAGCAAGGAAATCCGAGCATCACGCGCCTTCCGTCTCTTGTCCGTGCTACAGACTGGAGCTGGTGGGTCTCATGAACTTGATTGCCTCCCATAAAACTTTCTACGATGTAATTCTGACTGACTTGGGGTGTCGGATAGCCAATTGCACATTTACCTTTGCTCCCGTCCTGGGTCTCGGAACCTTTGCCATCTTGGCTAAGGTCAACAACACGGAGGCATTGACAGAGGGTATGGCTTTTGCAGTCCTGAGTCTGTTCAACCTCCAGGACAGGCCCGTCATGTCCTTGCTTCATGGCTTCGAAGACTTCCAGACCATATACAACGCCTTTTATCGTATTCAGACCTACCTCTTGTCTGCTGAGAGGGAAGACTCGCGAGCGACTCCTCTCTACCAACAGCCCGAAGCGTCATCGGATGAGAGCTTACCGAAAATCTCTACTACAGTGGCATCCGGCCACGGCGTTCTGACCAAGGTCGTTGACAACAATTCTGAATCCAGCGTTATTCGTCTCACTGAAGCCTCGGGGGGTTATACTCCTGAAACAATGATCCTCAGAGGAATCAACCTGGGGATTAGTGGCGGCAAGGTAACCATGATTGTCGGGCCTGTCGGTTCCGGCAAGTCAACACTGTTGCGCCTTCTCCTCGGCGAGCTGCCCCAAGTGTCAGGTTCCGTCGTCTCGGACTTTTCCAAATGTGCATATGCCCCCCAATCGCCGTGGATTACGTGGGGCACAGTACGAAGCAACATCCTGGGAATGACGCCGTGGGATGCTGGGTGGTACCGCAAAGTTGTTCGCGCGTGTTCGCTAGACGGTGATTTTGAAGGTCTGCCAGATGGCGACCAGACAAAAACTGGGATCCGAGGCTCTCATCTGAGTGGCGGCCAACAGATTCGTGTTGTGAGTAATGTATCTTTCTAGGTACGGTCTGGGAAAGGGAAGAGGAGCTGACATGAGACAAGTCGTTGGCTCGTGCTTTGTACTCTAGGAACAAACTCCTTGTTTTGGATGATGTCCTGACAGGTCTTGACCGGACGACTGAGGCCGCTGTGCTGGATGCCGTTTTCGGTGAGGACGGCATCCTCAAAAATATAGGGTCAACGGTCGTGCTTGCTACAAATTCTGGTATGTTGACTCTGACCCATGCTTTTCTCTCCTGCACTGCTTATAAGATGCCCTATAGCTGGCCACCTACGCTACGCCGACCATATAATAGTTCTCAACACGGAAGGGGGTATCGCTGAGCAAGGCACTCTTGAAGACGTTTCCGCATCCGGGGGCTATGTGCAGCGCCTGGAGAGCTTGCCAGTTGCTGAGACGTCCCGGCAGGAAGCCCTGGAGGTGCCAGAGGAAGTCTATCAGGAACTCGGCCTCGAAAATGAGGACGACGAGTTAGATGCTGCCCACCGGGCCAGTGACTGGCAGGTGTACACTTACTACATCCAGGTTGCCGGTGTATGGACCTTTTCAGCCTATCTCGTTATCTGCGTGGCGTATATATTTGGCCTTAGCTTTCCCTGTAAGTGAATTCACAACGTCGTCATTCTTTAGATTACTGACTCTGATGATTCTCTCTAGCAATATGGTTACAATGGTGGACCCATTACAATAAAGAACATCCCAACGACAACATTGGCTACTGGCTTGGCGTATACTTTGCCCTCGCAAGTTTAGCGATTGCAGGGTGTATGGCATCCGACTGGTGAGTTGACCTTTCATAACATGGGACTGGTGAAGTGGTCTGACTCCTCTTTAGGGCTTTTCGAATGATGGTGGTTCCAAAAACCTCGCGCAAATTCCACGAGCTTTTGCTCGATACAACTATGCAGTATGGTATCTCTATTTCACCTGGTTAAGGCTCATAAGTGGCTAATATTCCTCGTCCTTTAGCGCAACAACATCGTTTCTGACATCTACAAATGTCGGAATCACCACGAACCGCTTCAGCCAAGACCTGCAGCTTATCGACAGTGATCTGCCGCAGTCTCTCGACGAGTGCGTCATGAACTTTCTTGGTGTCTTGATCTCAGCCGTGTTGGTGTTTACCGGCTCGGGCTACGTTGCTGCTACTATTCCCGCCTGCGTAGCTGTCATCTTCTTTGTCCAGATGTTTTATCTGCGTACCTCACGTCAGTTGCGTCTGCTCGATATTGAGGCTAAGGCGCCCCTATTTTCCCATTTCATTGAGACCCTGGGCGGCATCGCCTGCATCCGCGCATATGGGTGGTCAGAACAGTACATGGACCGGAGCTACGACGTCCTCGACGCCTCGCAGAAGCCGTACTATCTATTGTGGTGCATTCAGAGGTGGCTGACCGTGGTGCTGGACCTGTTGGCCGGCGCCATCGCCGTGATGCTGGTCGCGTTTGCAACACTGGTGCGCAACGGGTCGACTGGGCTGCTGGGCGTGGCGCTCTTCAATGTCATCAGTTTCAGTGGCGCTCTCCAGTCTCTTGTCACGCAGTGGACACAGCTGGAGACAGGCCTTGGTGCCATCAGTCGTGTCAAGGCATTCGTTGAAGAGACCAAATCAGAGAAATGTGAGGGAGAGACGGACGAGGACTTGCCAGATGCTTGGCCGGCAACTGGTTCTATTATTCTGAATAACGTCTCCGCCTCTTACGAGTCATCTACTGCTCCTGTCGTCGATGGATTCAACTTGACCATCCAACCAGGTGAAAAGATTGCATTGTGCGGGCGAACCGGAAGGTAAGATTTCAGTTCTGAGTTTGATGTTTTCTGCTAATACTAACTGGCAACGCTCTAGTGGTAAATCGTCACTGCTCTTGGCTATTCTTGGTATGCTGGACCTCGATGAGGGCAGCATCACCATTGACGGGTACGCCACCGGAGAGATATCGCGAGAGACACTGCGCAGCCGCCTCAACATATTACCACAGGAGCCCTTCTTTCTGTACGGGAGTGTGCGCGAGAACATGGACCCGCTGCACATCTTGACCGACGAACGGATTATCGAAACCCTACGTGCCGTTCATCTCTGGGACTTGCTGGATGACCGCGGTGGGCTCGACGCCCCAATGGACGAGGATGCTCTGTCCCACGGCCAGCGACAGCTATTCTGTCTTGCCCGCGCTATTGCGCGCCCGGGTAAGATCATCATCATTGACGAGGCGACGAGCAGCGTCGACGCGGAGACGGATGAGCTCATGCAGCGGGTACTACGAGAAGAGCTCCAGGGCCGCACCCTGATCGCCATTGCTCACAAGCTAAACACAGTGCTCGACTTCGATCGGGTCGTGCTAATTGACAAGGGCAAGCCGCTGGAATCTGGGAACCCGCAAGAGCTCCTGGCCGACCCAGCGTCCATGTTCTCTAAGCTATACAGGGGTGGAGCAAGTGGGTGACATTGAAATTGAGACACTCAAATAATAAGCTGCTTATTTTCAAGCCTGCGAGCAGTATTATCAGATTATTGATTGCTAATAACATGTACTTGAGATAATAAAGTACATATTGTTACTCGATGTTCTTTTATACAACTCATTTTCTCTACTTATTTATCACGGAAAGCAGTATATTTTTAATAACTCTTCCATTAGGTGTCTCATTTCTCATGTCACCCACCTGTGGAGGTAGTAGCCCTGCCGCGTAAAGTAAACCGTGGGCGGGATGAGCGGAGGACCGAGATCTTTCGTTCTTCTTTGCTTTTTCGATCGAGATCCTTGCTGTAAGGATGAATCTCTGGAGCTACACCCCCCCACAGGCGAGAGGATTGACTGAGACGGGTGGCTGGGCGGGTGAATCGTTGGGCAGCTCGTTTAGAATAGCATAACATGTACACATCAAATTCGTTTCTTCCTCCACAGTCGGGCGTGGATCATTGTCGGTACATTGATCCATGTTGTGGAGTCGCATCGGCACATTGTTCTTGGGCCTGACCGGCAGTAGCTCGTCCATGAACTCATCAATACGAGAATAGGTGCCGAAGATGAAGGAACCGGACTCCGCTTTTTGTGTGATATACGGCTTGTGAGCGAGTGGCTGAGACGGCTCACTCCCATCTATTGCCCCAAAGCCAAGCCGCTTTCCTTCTTTGCATCACCAAAAGGTCCTTGGAGGTCTTTCATCGCGGTTGCTATTACCTAACATTACCTAATTGTGTGACCCGAGAATGATCTGGACCACCGGAGCCAGGGGTTGCTGCAGCCTCGTGCGTCTACATATTGGACACGGAACATTGGATTGGCATTGGCTGGAGGAGCTCACAGCCGTTGTTGTCTCATTAATGGGGTCACGCAAGGCGCCATTGGAACGCCCGAGACATTGTTCATCATTTCTGACCGCTCGTCCAGCAAGCTGCCTGCATATAAGCATTGAGTAGGGGTAAGGACCCCAGCCGATTGGATGATGTTACGGCCTCGATTTTATGACAATGTGGGTTGGAAGGCTATCGTCGATGATCACATCTTTACGGAAATTGATATATCATATTCTGCAGGTGGAAAGGGATAGATCGACGGGATTTACTGTTTTCTAAGTGGCCACCGTAGATGTCTCAGCTCTTCAGCTCGCCACTAGCAACTACCGACTTACCTTTAAGGTACACTGGCATCATGTGTTTCTGCGAGACGAGACTCGGTCTCGTACTACTGCAGTCATCTATCACATAGTGGAGCCCAATTTCCTTTCGATGCACTTGGGTGTACGACTGCATAGTGCATACTTCGTGGTAGTCGATGTATCGTTTTTGCGAAGTCTAACCATGTTGTATTGTAACCCTTGACCCCTTACTTGTCCCTCCGCATAGTCTTAGTATCATAGTCCCGGTCTACCGCTTCCGATTCCTAGACCTGCATGACTAGAGGAAGTCAATGGGGATGATGCAAGCTGATCCTCAATTTACGAAATGGCATGAATGCACCCAATGTGGATACTGCATACCTTGAGTGAGTTGATGGGCATTGGGTAGAATGATGTATTAGCTGCATTGCTTTTTTACAAAAGTCAAATCTAAGGAGGCGCAGTAAAGACACCGACAGCTCACTTGCAGCCTCATGGGGTAATTAGATGACGAAATGATTCAGAGAACCCAGCTCACCGGCTCAACAGATACTGAAATGAAGCCCACCATTGGTCTCAGATGGCACGTTCAACTTGTGTGCCGTCCATACCCGCCCACTCCCTCTCTGCCAGCCTGTGAAAGCCCAGATCGCACCGCCGGCCGCGCGGCATGGCGTTCTGCGACCCGAGCTGCTCCATGGTCCAGTCCGTCGTTGTCTCGGACTGCGGATCCCGCCGCACGCTGAACGCGAGGAGGACGCCTGCGACGAGCTGCTTGATCTCGGCAACGGCAAAGGCTTTTCCCAGACAGAGGCGGGCGCCGTAGCCAAAGGGCATGTAGCATGCCTCCATGGCCTGTAGAGTTGCCCCGTCGGCCTCGAGCCAGCGGTCGGGTTTGAACATGTGTGGATCAGGAAAGACGTCCGGTCTGTAGTGGATGGCGAGTGTCGATGTGGACACAAGAGTCTGTTATCGGCTTTGTAGTTAGCATACACAAGCAATTGAACAAAAGCGAGGATGGCAAACTGTCAGGAAGAAGAAGAAGAGCACTCACTCCGGCTGGTAGGATGATGCCGCTATATGCCTTTGTAGTGGGCACGACCCTCTCTGCCCTGCCGCTCGATAAAGGATGGAGGCGGCCAGACTCTCGAAAGCAGGCATCTAGAATGGGACAAGCCATGATGCTGTCAAAGGTGGGCAATCCGTCATCCTCGTTGATGGGCAGCGAGAGAAGCTCAGTGCGGACCCGGTCCTGCCACTCGGGGCTGCAGGCCAGGTCCCAGAGCAAAAAGGTCAAGGCGAGGGCTACCGTTGTCTGCGCCGCGTGGATATTGTCCAGCATCTCGGCCGCGATCCACGGCACGGGGTAAGGCTCGCCCTCAGGCGTCTTGGCGTAGCTCAGCTGGTGGAGGAGGGAGCCGGGCACGATCTTGCCCGGGTTTCGCTGGCTGACCATGATCTTGTCCATGTTCCAGTCGGTCAGCCTCTCCTCGGCGGATAGGAAGGTCGGGTCGCCTCTGGTATAAGACAGGACGGCCCGGGTGATTTTGTGGACGGTGGGAACGATGTATGCGAGGTTGTTCCAGACCTCAACTTCCTTCCAGCCCGCTAATATCGCTCTCTCTTCGCAGTTCTCATCGTCAATAGAGTGAGCGCAGAGCTCGGGCCCGTATGCCAGGCGTGTGATGTTGTCTAACGAGTACAGGTTGCAGTAGAACATGGCATCGACCGTCAGGCGCGCCTCCATGTCTCTCTTGAGCCGATCAACGATCTTGGATACGTTTGTGCGCAACGGTTGCAAGACTGCCGGCTTGTAGATGGATGAGGGCTGGTAGAAGGCGAATGTTCGCTTGCACATCTGTCGGTGCTCACCAACACCAAGGACACAAAATATGGGTCGCTGGCCGTAAAATGTCAAGTTGTCAAAGTAGCTGCTCTTCGGATGACGTCCGGAGCAGCCGTAAATGTCCCTCGTGGGTGCCGGGCTGGAAAAGGAGACCTCGCCCGGGGCGATGAGGACGACGTCGCCGTACTTGCAGTGCCACTCGTGAATCTTGCTAATCCGACGCAGCCGCAAGTCTTGATAGATGGCCCAGTAGCGGGTGATTTTGCACAGCCTCGGCCCTGGAATGTTCCTGTAAGGCGAAAGGAACAAGGCATAGATGACATTTCCGGCAATGAAAGTAAGAGAGAGGGCCAGAACTAGGTCGAGGACCGTCAAGAGGGTCATTATTGCGCTTGGTCTGTCTGCCGAGCGAACCAGAATCGTATCAAAGGGTTGATGGCTGCAATTCCAACTTCAAAAAGAGCACAAATAACGATAAGAAGGGCTTGCATACCGATCAAAGCTAAGAAAGAGGTGAAAAAAGGTATACGCTGTATCATAAAATAAGAAGTGCCACGAAACCAGTTTTTATACCTACATCATACATGTACTTGCTTGCTCGGGTCAGAAGAGGTCAGAGGACGGCAGGGAGCCACTAGGGTCAAAAGCCTTCGATACAGGCAGGATTGCATCATGTCTCTTCAGGCTGACCGATACCCTTTTGGTCGAAAAGAATACCGACCCGGCGGGAGTACTCGGGGGGTAAGGTTGTGTGACAGTTTGCATGAGATCACTCGGTTGTTGTTGGAGCAATGGCTCTGTGCAGAGATTTATTCCGAGAGACACTTCCCAGGCCGTCCAAGGGCGAAGTTCCTGTCGCTTATTGGAAATACCTAAAGTACATATGCACGCGAGACTATAAAGAACTAGCCACTAAAATGGGATTTGATACAGCAGTAAATGGCCTTCAGGGTAGAGATAATTCTCAGTTCAACTACCAATTGTAGAATGGTTGTCGGATCTGGGAGCTAAGAAGAAAACACTCAGCTGGGAAGGCTTCTACTTTTATGACATGGTATATGTAAGCAAGGTAGGTACCTATTATATAAATTTGCCTGATACTTGGCCGTTCTAGACGAGACCCAAGGCGTAGTAAACAAGCCTCGCATTAACAAGCCGATCTTGGCAGAACTTCTGTTAAAGGCATGGATACCTAAGGCAACGCAGGACTGAATCATTATTACTAGTGAGTCTCTCTTGGGATGGTCAAGAGATGGTCACGTTCCACCGAGTAAGAAAATCTCCGCTCCTTGACATACAAATGGTGTGATGGCATGCTGTCACAGTCTGAGGGATCTACATGCACAAAGCTACAGTGGAGTACATGTAGCTATGAAACGAAGAGCTCGGCCTCATTTTGAGTTCCGCCGTGATGCTCATCTCAAGATGCAATGGGAATCTAGCCTTTGTGATCCGGAGAGCTTAACGAAAGGAAACGCGTTTTCACGGTTCATTCAGACCGTGATATTGCATAGTGCTTGTATGTCTAGCCCGCGGATATCCGCGTTGCTTTAACGAGCTGGCCAATAGGTACATTTGCAACCTACATGGAGTATTTACTGCACCGTCTTTTCTCATGCCCAAGCCCTGCGGCTGAGGATCGTCAAGTCTTTTGCCAAAAACCATAAAACTACTGAAAGCCGCTTGGGAAGTGGGGTGCTTGTGAAGCCACCATGGCGGAGGGGTGTGTGACATGAGCCTGGTGAGTTGCTTGGGGAAAGATGTGATGTGATGCATGCGCATGTCTCAGTCCTCAAAGTCTATCGAATGCAACCGCGCACTACCCTTTTCGAGTACTCACCTGAAAATGCAGCGCGTCTAACCGAGCAACGATGACGATGACTATGGATGATCTAGCTACAGATTGATAATGGTCGCCCAAAAGTTCTGTCTGGAGCAATGCGCTGCCCGATATTTTACGCAACGTACGAGAGAGAGACATGCACGCACCCCCTTCGCACGGTGCCTAGAAAACACATGTACTTCACATCCACGTCGTGTGTAAGTGACGAGTATTGCATTGTGTATCATCAGTCCAACATCATCGGCCCAAGAATTTGAATTTGGCTGCTCAGGTCCTCTTTGCGGCGTCTCATCTTCCTCTACCAACACCGTCATCATCCCTTCACGAAGGTGTCTAAGGAAAAGCTTGGCCCGGAGCCATTCACAAAGTGGCCGAGATTGTATTGTACGATATTGTTCAGAATGCCTGCCAATGCCTCAGAACAGAGGCAAGATCCTTCCTCGTCATTGGTTTATACCGAGTCTCAGCACAGATCAACAGATAGCATCAGTCGTCAAGATCTTGAGCTCATCTGGAAATGGAATCATACCGTCCCAGAGACAGTCAACAAATGTGTTCACAGTCTTATCACGGAGAGAGTGCGCCTGCAGCCTGACGACCAAGCTGTCCAGGCCTGGGACGGCAATTGGAGCTACCGTCAGCTCGATGAACTCTCCACCAACCTAGCACATCGCCTCATCGATATTGGCGTCGGTCCTGATGTGATTGTCCCTCTCTGCTTCCAAAAGTCAAAATGGACTCCCATCGCCATGCTCGCTGTTATGAAGGCCGGAGGTGCATCAGTGGCTCTGGAAACCTCACTCCCTTTCGAGCGTTTATGTAGCATCGTTCAACAAACCAAGCCGATTGCTATCTTGGCATCTTCCTTGACTGCTGGTCTTGCTGGCGACCTCGCCTCAGGCCCAGTCGTGCTTGTTGATGACGAAAGTACTAGCTCCTCTGTGGCAATCAACAAATTGCCAGAGGTTCATCCATCAAGCAGACTTTACATCATTTTCACTTCGGGCAGCACGGGCACTCCCAAAGGCACAATTATCACCCATTCCAACATTTGTAGTTTGATTCGCCACCAGCAGGCCACACAAGGCTATTCAACTTCCTCACGGGTGTATGATTTTGCCAAGTATTCCTTTGACGTAGCCTGGTCCAACTTCATCCATACCCTGACTGTGGGTGGCTGCCTCTGCATCCCTCACCAGCAAGAGGCTATCAGCAACCTTGCTGGCTCCATACAAGCTTACGGCGCAAACTGTGTCAACATCACGCCCACAGTCGGTGCCATGATTCGACCATTGGACCTGAAAGGTACACTGAAGCATGTTATTTTCGCTGGAGAGGCCTTGACGAGTCAGCTGGCCTCAGAGTGGGCACAAGCTACCCGCGTGTTCAACTTGTATGGCCCGGCTGAATGCGCAATCGGAGCCACGCTGGCTGACTTTGGTGATGGCGGCGTTGCTGGCAAGCAAGACTCCATTGTTACTATTGGCCGCGGAGCTGGCCTTTGCACTTGGGTGGTCGAACCTGACTGCCATGACGAGCTGGTGCCTGTTGGAGTCACTGGCGAATTGGTGCTGGAAGGCCCAATTGTCGGAGACGGATATCTCGGAGAGCCAGAAAAGACGGCCGCAGTGTTCATCGAGAGCCCTAAGTGGTTGGTTGCTGGGTCTCCGGGCTGTCCAGGTCGCCTAGGTCGACTGTACAAGACAGGTGATCTTGTGCGCTACGAAGCCAATGGGAATATTACCTATATAGGCCGAAAAGACTTGCAAGTCAAGATCAGCGGCCAGCGTGTAGAGTTGGGCGACGTCGAGTCTCACGTGCGGACAGAGGTCACTCATGGCGGCTGGGATGTGCGAGTGGCTGCCGAGCTCTTGACACCACGCAACAGCGACAGGTCTTTGCTTGTTGCGTTCATACAGATACCGAAGTCAGCTTCCAACCAAGACAAGGACGGACTAGAAACAGAGTTGCAGCGAGTCACCGATGGACTCAACAACCGGTTGGCCGTCCATCTACCGGCGTACATGATTCCGGCAGCCTATATTCCGCTTGAGGTTTTTCCCACAACATCTAGTGGGAAATTAGATAGAAGCAAGCTCAGAGAAGTTGGGGCTGCATTTTCATTGAAGGAGCTTGTGGCTCAAGGTTCATCTTTGCCAGACAAGAGGGAGCCAACCACTTTTATGGAGCTCCGTTTACGAGGTCTTTGGTCCTCTGTTCTCGGTTTGAATGACGGCAGCATCGGAGCTGATGATGACTTTTTACGTCTTGGAGGAGATTCTATTGCGGCCATGAAGCTGGCTGGCGCCGCGCGAGATGACAGCCTGTTGCTCAATGTCGCCGACATCTTTACCCATCCGGTTTTGTGTGACATGTCAAAGATCGTGGTCGAGCTTTTAGAGGATAGTAGTAGCACCATCGAGCCTTTTTCTTTGCTCAAAAACCATATCGACGCGCAGTTGGTGCGCAGACAGGCGGCCGTCGTCTGTGGCGTCGCTATTGAGAATGTGGCCGACGCCTTTCCTTGCACACCTCTACAAGAGGGTCTCATCGCCTTGACAGCCAAGCATCCAGGTGACTACATCTCCCGGCATCTCTTCCAGCTGCAGCCTGGAGTGAACATGGAACGTCTTCGAAAGGCATGGGAACAGGTCGTGGCGGCAACAGCGATTCTTCGGACGCGAATTGTCGACATCAAGCCCCAAGGAATGGTGCAGGTGGTCATTGATACCGATGAAACGACCGGAGTAATGCACGAGGAGCGACGCATGAGCCTCGCCAAGTATAGGCAGATGGATGAAAAGCTCACAATGGACTTGGGAAGCCCCTTGTTCCGATTCGCACTGTTCGAGGAGGAGCAAGAAGATGAGAAAGAGGCGAGACGTTTCTTTGTGTGGACGATCCACCACGCGCTATATGATGGCTGGTCCAAATCACTACTTTTAAAGCGGCTTTCCCAAGCCTATCATGGCGAGGAAGGAGAGCTTGAGGATTTCACTGCATTTCAAGGTTTCGTGAAGCATATCCTCAACATACAGGAAGACGAGGCAACCAACTTTTGGTCGACACAGTTCAGAGACATTAATGCAGAAATATTTCCCCCACTGCCGTTGCCGCATTATCAGCCGAGATCTGATACCTTGGTAAAGTATGACATTAGAGATCTCCAGTGGCCAAATGCAATGGGTATGACAGCCTCGACCCTTTTGAGAGCTGCATGGTCCATTGTCACCTCATTTTATACAGGTGCAAATGATACCGTGTTCGGTATCACCGTGAGCGGCAGGCAGGCAGCTGTCCGAGGAGTGGATGGGATGACCGGTCCCACGATTGCGACAATGCCGCTGCGGATTGTCTTGGATAAAGAAAAGACTGTCGGAGAACTTCTCGTCCAAATTCAAAATCAGGTCCTTGATATGGTGCCGTTTGAACAAACGGGCCTACAACGAATCAGGCGGGTCAGCCCTGAAGCCGAGAGAGCATGCGATTTCCAGACGTTGCTCATCATCCAGCCAGCCGAGGATGAGACGGAGCTGTCCTACCATGATCGTCTCTTTTTACGCGAGGGTGATTTTGAGAAAACAGGTGAAGCGGAAAACGAAATGGCAGAGTTCCGCACGTATCCTTTGTCTCTGGAGTGCCACCTGCAGGAGCAAGGCGTTGTCTTGTCGACAAGATTTGACTCTGCTGTGCTTCGACACGACCAAGTGGCCAACATGATGAGGCAGCTGGAATACGTTGCCCGCCAGCTATGTAATTCTGAACATGTAGAGGTCAAATTGGGAAACCTGGCTTTGATCGGTCAAGAGGATCTCGCCCAGATATGGCGTTGGAACTCAAGCATACCCGAGATGGCCGATGGTACTGTGCACGACTTGATTTCCGCCACAACAAGGCAGCAGCCGAATGCCGAGGCAGTATGCGCGTGGGATGGTAGCTGGACGTACCGCGAGCTTGACGACCTGTCGACGCGTCTAGCACATCATCTTGTTGGTTTGGGTGTTAGGCTCGATATCATCGTCCCGCTAGTTATTGAAAAGTCAAAGTGGATGCCTGTAGCCATGATGGCTGTGATGAAGGCCGGGGGAGCTTCTGTTGCTCTCGACGACACGCAGCCAGAGGATCGACTTGGAAGTATCGTGCGACAATTGGAACCGGTCGTGGTGTTGACGTCGGCCAAGAATCAGGACCTTGCTCGTCGCTTAGGCCCAACGGTCACGTGCAACCTGGCTGTGGTCGGCGAGGAGCACCTTCCCAATCATCCTTGTGCTTCAACAACTACACCATCAACAACGATATCATCTATAGCACTCCCAAAAGTAGACTCTTCAAACAGACTCTATCTCGTCTTCACGTCTGGAAGTACTGGAACCCCAAAGGGTGTGGTCGTAACTCATGGAAACATTACCAGCGCCATCCGCCACCAGCGGGGTACCCTTGGATTCACTAAAGAATCACGAATCTACGACTTTGCGTCGTACACATTTGACGTAGTCTGGTGCAATCTTCTCCAAGGCCTCTCTGCAGGAGGTTGTCTCTGTATCCCGAGCAACCATGATCGCCGCACCGATCCTCTCGGCGCCATCAGCCGTCTTGGTGCTAACACAACCATTTTGACCCCCTCGACTATCCGCGGATTGGACTTACAGCCCCTCCGGGATCTACACCACATTCTCTTCATCGGAGAGCCACTCTCAGTTGATGATATAAAAAGCTTGCATCCTGACATCGCCATAACTAACCTCTACGGGCCAACGGAGTGTACGACGTTTAGCACGGCCCAACGCGTCGTCTTTCGCAAGTCTTCGGGCCTGGAAAAGCGTCAACCCATTAGCATAGGCACCGGCTTAGGTCTACGAACATGGCTCGTACAGCCTTCGGATCACTCCAAATTGGTTCCAGTAGGATGCGTTGGCGAACTTTTGCTGGAAGGGCCGCTTGTGGCGGCGGAATACTTTGGAGACGACAAAAAGACGGCTGATGCTTTCATATACGACCCAGTCTGGCTCTTGAAGGCATGTCCCAATCACCGTGGTCGCCATGGACGTTTATACAAGACTGGGGATCTTGCACGGTACGACATAGATGGAAACCTGATTTTCCTCGGACGGAAGGACTCCCAAGTCAAGATCAATGGCCAACGTGTTGAGCTGGGCGATATTGAGCACCACGTCCGATCCAATATCGTATACCGTCAAAATTCAAATGTCACAGTCATCGCAGAAGTTGTGAAGCCTCAGGACTGCAGCAATGAAATGCTTGTATGTTTTGTTCACATCGGGGCCACCGAGGCATTCTGTGATGAAACTACTGTACACGATGCGTTCGAGAGCTTGTCGAATAGTCTTCTCGACAAGCTTGTTGGCAAGATACCAGCGCATATGATCCCAGCAGCCTGCATTCCACTCAGCGAGATTCCTATGACACCCAGCGGCAAGATTGATCGTGGTAAGCTCCGTGTGATAGGTCAACAAATGGATTTGGCGAATCTGGTAGGAACCAACTTGACCTCTGAGTCCGTGCGATTAGAGCCGTCTACAATTACCGAAATGCACCTAAGGGATTTGTGTGCAGCCGTGCTCGGCATCAGAGAAGAAAAAATCGCCATGGACAGTAGCTTCTTACGGATAGGAGGTGACTCTATTGGGGCCGTGAGGCTTGTCGCAGCAGCACGCGAGCAGGGCATTACTTTCTCTGTCACCGATGTATTTGAGCACCCCGTGCTGAGCGACCTGGCCCGAATAGCCTGTGTCAGTGCCAGCGAGACCGAGAAACTTGAAATCGAACCATTCACACTGTTAAGAAATTTAAAAGTGACGATAGCCACCCTCAAGCAGCGAATCGCAAGTGAATGCAACGTCCAGGCTGAGCAAGTCGTGGATGCATTTCCTTGCACCCCGCTGCAGGAAGGCTTGCTTGGATTGACTGCTAAGCGAGCCGGCGATTATGTTGCCCGATTCATCTACCCGCTGCAGGCCAGCGTAGACTACGAGCAGTTTTTGACAGCGTGGGAGGCCGTCGTTGCAGCAGTACCTATCTTGCGAACTCGGTTTGTTGATCTGGGTGACCTTGGGTTGGCTCAAATCATTGTCGACGAACCAACCAATTGGTCATTCAAGAACGAGTTGATTAGTGTCAAAGACTATGAGTTAGCTGATAAACAGCTCGAAATGGGCCTAGGCTTAGCTATGGCAAGATTTGCCATTGTAAAGGACCCAGCTGATGGTAGACGTTTCTTTGTGTGGACTATTCACCATGCCCTCTACGATGCCTGGTCTATTTCCCTTATATTGGAAAAGCTGGAAGCTACATATAATTTCAATGAATGCGGTACAATCACGCCCTCAGTACCGCTACAGGCCTTTGTCAAGCACGTAATAGACATTGACCAGATCATGGCGACTACTTACTGGAGTGAGCAGTTTCGTGGATCTGAAGCTCAAACCTTTCCGTCGCTTCCCTCAGCCACTTATGAGCCAATGTCTAGTGCCTTCTTCAAGCACCGCATTAGAAACCTCCAATGGCCAAAGACTGACACGACGCCTGCATCGATTTTACGGACAGCCTGGACGCTTTTGGCTGCAAAATATACTGCTAGCTCGGACATCGTCTTTGGTGTTACTGTTTCTGGTCGACAAGCTCATGTTCCCAACGTTGAGCAAATTGTAGGACCTACAATTGCCACAGTGCCCGTTCGAGTTGCTTTCGACTGGAGTGAAATGACTGTAGAACATCTTCTACGCCAAGTTCAGTCCCAAGCGGTGCGTATGACGGCTTTTGAGCAGACGGGTTTGCAACGTATTCGCTGCGCGAGCGCGGAGGCTGAACAAGCATGCAAATTTCAGACTTTGCTCGTCGTACATCACGTCGAGGATGGCGAAGACAAAGGGGGTAGTAATTGGTTCATTAGCAACCGGGACGAAGACGGAGAAGACGACACCAACGTCACCGATCACGATACATTCGCCCTAACAATTGAGTGTGGTCTGGAAAGAGAGGGACTCAGGCTGCGCATTGCCTACGATGCCAGGATCTTGGATACCAAGCAAGTCGAGAGGCTGGCTCACCAACTAGAGCATGTTATTCGACAGATTTGTGCTCCAAGAAATGCTAGCTGCCATCTAGGTAGCTTGGATATGCTGAGCGCCCAGGACGTGGATGATATCTGGACATGGAACAACACCTGTCCCGAAGCTTTGCACACTTGTCTACATGACATGATTTCACACAAAGCTCAATCGATACCGGATTACCTGGCAGTCAATGCGTGGGATGGTGATTTATCCTATCGCGAACTTGACGAGATATCTACGTACTTGGCGTTATACCTCGTCAGTGTTGGCGTTGGGCCCGAGACAATCATTCCTCTCTATTTTGAAAAGTCCATGTTGGCGCCCATTGCGATGCTGGCCGTTATGAAGGCAGGCGGTGCGTCGACCATGATGGACTCGCGCCAGCCGAAAGAACGTCTGCAAGTCATCGTCGACCAAATCAACCCTGTTGTGGTGGTGACTTCGTTGAGTAACAGAGAGTTGGCGAGCACACTCACCGTGGCACCCATCATTGCTCTCAGTAGTGAGCGCTTAGAGCAGTTGAGGAGTGAGCAAAAATGCCTGACGCAGCTTCCACGAGTCCAGCCGTGGAACAAGGCATACTTGATATTCACTTCAGGCAGCACTGGCGTCCCAAAGGGGGCCATACTCACACATGAAAATGTGTGTAGTGCAGTTCGCCACCAGCAGCTCGCTCAGGGGTACACCCATGATGCTCGCGTATACGACTTCACCTCGTACGCATTTGACACAACCTGGAATAACTTCATGCACACATTTACTATTGGCGCCTGCTTGTGTATTCCGTCAGAGGACGAACGCAGAGACGATCTCGCCGGATCTATTGAGCGGTTTAAGCCAACCATCCTCGACATCACGCCATCTGCCGCCACGGTCTTGGGACACAACACCATCCAATCGCTGCGTACAATGATCCTGGGAGGTGAAAGATTGTCCCCCGAGCACGCTCGGCGCTGGGGAGCACTCGTCGACCTGAAGCTCTGTTACGGGCCGTGCGAGTGTACGCCCACGGCGACTGTTGCCACAGTCGACCCTGGGGTGGATGGTGAACCACCCCTCGGCCCTGCCATCGGGATGTGTGCTTGGGTCACAGACCCAACGAATGTTGACACTCTTGTCCCGATTGGCGCCATGGGCGAGCTTGTCTTGGAAGGCCCCCTTGTTGGTCAGGGTTATTTGAACGACAAAGTAAAGACGGACGCGGTTTTCATCGATGACCTACCCTGGCTCCTGCGCGGCGGACCTGGCAGGTCCGGACGCAAGGGCCGCCTTTATAAAACCGGCGACCTTGTGAAGTATAATACAGACGGTTCACTGATGTTCATCGGCCGAAAAGATGCCCAGGTCAAGATCAACGGTCAACGAGTGGAACTCGGCGAAATAGAAAATCACATGGTCCGCCACTCACTGACGCGCCAGGCCGTATCTCTGTATCCTCGGTCTGGCCTTTGTTCGAGAAAGCTTGTTGGAATCTTTAGCTTGGAAGACGTCCCCGAAAGCAACAACTTGTCGCCCATCGAACTTGTCAATACAAAGCATGATGCCGCTATTCAGCAGCATATTCTAACGCTGCAACAAATCTTAGGAGAGGCTCTGCCTTCATACATGGTACCGTCTATTTGGGTCCCTCTTAAGAACATTCCCCTGAATCCTTCAGGCAAGCTGAACCGCCGTCTGGTGGAAGACTGGCTGATCAACATAAGCTCCGAAAATTTCTCTAGAATCAGTAACGTGGGTTCCTCATTTGCGACTCGTGAACCCGAGACGCATGCTGAGAGTGTTATCTGCGATGCGTGTTGTGTCATCTTGAATATTCCTCGTGTTGAAGTGAATCTGGGGCGTTCTTTTGTCGCCAATGGCGGCGACTCCATCTCTGCCATGCGTGTCTCTTCGCATTGCCGTGCTGTCAAACTGGCCGTTTCTGTGAGTGTGCTGCTAAGAAGCAAATCACTCGTTGATGTAGCCCGGCTCTCTGCTGCTGCCGCTGCCCCAGACCTACATCGTGCCCAAGGAGGCGAAGAGGTATTTGGCAAGGGCTTCAAGTTGTCGCCTATTCAGAAGTGGTTCTTCGGCCAGACTCCACCTGAATGTGTCACGAAGGAAAACTATCATTGCAACCAAGGGTTTTATGTCAAAATCAACCGTCACCTTTCGACCGAGGACGTCTCCCTGGCTATTCGTAAGATCGTCGAGCAGCATTCCATGCTCCGTGCGCGATTCCACTACTCCAATGAAGAATGGATGCAGACTGTTCCCAAGCCAGAAGATGGTTTTTATCATTTTGGCTCCTTTGAAGCCCAGTCTCTGGATGAAGTGAAGTCCAAGACAACAAAGAGTCATCGAAGCCTTGACATTGAGCGCGGCCTCGTTTTCGCAGTAGATCTATACACGTTGCCATGTGGTGACCAATATTTGACTTTGATCGCCCATCATCTAGTCGTTGATCTCGTTTCATGGCGCATCATCTTACATGATCTCGAGGCTTTACTTACCGGAAATAAGCTTCTCGATGGACTTCCCTTTCAGCTCTGGAACAAGCTACAGATAAAGGAAGCCCAGTGCTCTACGTTCCTACCAGACAAGGTCCTCTCTACTACTAATGTACACAATAACCATAGTTTTTGGGATTTCAACGAGAATACGCCCAACAATACTGAAGACCATACAGAAATGAACGTCGAGGTTGATAAAGCCACGACCGCACTGATGCTCAAAGGCGCGAACTCTGCGTTCAACACGGAGCCTGTCGACCTAATTCTCTCATCTATCTGGGACGCTTTTTTCCATGTGTTCCGTTCCCGAGATGGGCTGACTATCTTTAATGAAAGCCATGGACGTGAGCCGTGGACGACAGATATCGACTTGTCACGTACTGTAGGATGGTTTACAACAATCTGTCCCATCCATGTCTCTCGAAGCGAGGGCAATAATACTACTAATATTGTGAGGACGGTCAAGGATGCCCGACGCCGGTTACCCTCCAATGGCTGGGCTTACTGGGTGTCAAGACATATGAATGAAAAGGGCATGGCTGCCTTCGCATCTCATAACTCTGTTATGGAAGTCCAATTCAATTATCATGGACAGTTCCAACAGCTGGAGCGCACCGACTCTCTCTTTGATGCGTGTAATTTTGATGACAAGGTATCGGCCGTTGGACCGTCTCTTCCAACATCAGTCTTGTTTGATATTAATGTTGTTATTGATTCTGGAGTGACCAAAATCTCCTTTGCTTGGAACCGACATCTTGCTCACCAGGATTTGATCCAAGCATGGATTGCACAAATCAGCCCCTCAATGGAAAACCTATGTGCAGAACTAGCTAATAGACAGGCTCAGAATACTCTTTGTGATTATGAGTTTCTCAGCCTTGACTATAGAGGGCTCGACCAACTCCATGAGGACACTTTACCCCATATTGAAAAGGTCAATAATGCACAAATCGAGTCCGTCTACCCATCTTCTCCTATGGTAGATGGAATTCTTCTCAGTCAGTTGAAAGGTACAGGCTCCTATAAAACTTCCCAAACTTGGGAAATACGACCGGCCAAATCCGGCTTGATTTGCCTTGATGCCTTGACAAACGCGTGGCAAGCGGTTGTCGCTAGACACCCCTCTTTGCGAACTGTATTCATTGATAGCATGGATGCCTCGGTTGCGTTCAACTCAGTTGTGTTAAGATCCTACCGTGGCGACGTTGCCCTTCTTAAAGAGCAGAGTTTCGAATCTGCCAATACTAGACTTAGGGAACTGCCCGAAGCCGATTACACATTAGATAGGCCGGCTCATCGATTAGTGGTTTGTGAGATCGAGGAAGATAGCCGTCTTATCTGCAAAATCGAGATGAGTCATGCAATTTCCGATGGTGCTTCAACTGACATCACCATGCAAGATTGGGGTCGGGCTTACTCTGGGGAGCTCAATGTCGAAGAACTAGGTGACACTAGTGATGCTTTTGCTCGAGCCCTTCTGTCCGTGTCGAGAACGGATAAGATGACCTACTGGAAGCAGAAACTGTCCACTACGGAGCCTTGCCTTTTCCCACGTCTTGCTGATACTGAGCTGGTAGCCGATGACCATGATGCTGGAGTAGTCACCTTGGAACTCTGTAAAGAGACATTCGATCAGGTTCAACAATTCTGCAAGTCACAATCTGTAACTCCTGCCACCCTGTTTCAGAGCGCTTGGGCTCTTGTTCTCTCGAGTTATTCAGGCACCGACTCTGTCTGCTTTGGGTATCTGGCATCTGGGCGGGAATTTCCTGTCAAGGGTATCGTGGACTCTGTTGGTGCTTTTGCCAACGTTATGATCTGCCAAGTCAATATTTCCCCAGATTGGAGTGGTGCAAACTTGGTCCAACACATACACAGCCAAGTCTTGGAAGATTTGGACTTCCAACATTGTTCGATTGGCGATATACAACACGAGCTAGGTCTCCCCTTCGGACAAAATCTTTTCAACTCCATCATGTCATTCCAAAGGGACAACGATAGCCTCGACGAAGGTATTAGGACCCGAGACTTGTTGTTCACCAATCTTGAGTGGGAAGATCCAACCGAGTATGATATTACGATGAACATAAGATATACCGACGTTTCGGCCTGCTTCACGCTTGAACACCGACTAGCGTGTGTTTCTAATGAACAGGCCAACCGCGTTGCTTTACTTCTGGAAAAAACGATCATATCTCTCGTTGGAGAGGGCAATGTGGACTCTGTCGCCGGCCATAAGGCGCAAAATTTGGCTGAAATGGAAAGCATAACCGACAAAGATTTGCAAGACATTTGGAAGTGGAACCAGGCTGTGCCTGAAGCAGTTAATGGACTAGTACATGATACAATTGCCGACGTCGTTCAGAAAAATCCCGATTCGCCTGCCATCTGCGCTTGGGATGGTGGTTTCACGTATGCCGAGATGGATGCTCTTGCTACAAAACTCGCATATCACCTTGTTACATTTGGTATTGGGCCTGACGTTATTGTGCCTTTGTACTTTGAGAAGTCAAAATGGATGCCTGTGGCTATGCTTGCTGTCATGAAAGCAGGTGGTGCATCCGTGGCGCTGGATAGTACTCTCCCACAGGAGCGCATTCGCAGCGTCGTTTGCCAGGTGAATCCTATAGTTATTCTAACATCCTCAGCAAATCTACAAATGGCAGAACGTCTCACAGATTGTGTTGTTATCCCTGTGAGCGCTACACACCTTGAGCAGCTCGGCACTGTCTCCAGGTCATTGCCGACCATAGACCCATCCAACAAACTATATGTGGTCTTTACATCTGGTAGCACAGGACTTCCTAAAGGCGTTGTCATCACGCATTCTAATTTCTGCAGTGCTATTCGGTACCAGCAGCAAGCTTTGGGTTTCAAAAATACATCGCGCGTATATGATTTCGTGAAGTACGCGTTTGATGTGACTTGGTCTAACTTTCTGCATACCATGACCGCGGGCGGCTGCCTCTGCATCCCCTCCGAAACCGAAACTTCTAATCATATCGCCAGCTCAATGATCTCGTACAAGGCAAATTTTGCTGATCTGACCCCATCTGTCGCTAGCACTCTACGCCCAACCGATCTTGCTACGCTAGACCATCTGTTGTTCAGCGGCGAGGCATTGACAAGTCACCTCGCTGCGCAGTGGGGCGAGAGAGTGACTGTTCTCAATACATATGGCCCCGCAGAGTGCAGTGTCAAGGCAACATTTGAAGAGGTTGGTAGGGCCGGTAGTGGTGCATCAGCTGCTAGCATAGGTCGGGGATTCGGTATGTGTACTTGGATTGTTAAATCGACAAACCATAACCAGCTTGTGCCGTTTGGTGCTGCTGGCGAGCTTTTACTTGAAGGGCCGCTTGTTGGCGCAGGGTATCTGGGAGATCCTGCCAAAACCGAGGCGGCCTTTATCGAGGATCCGGCTTGGCTTGCTCGTGGAGGGCCGTGCTATGCTGGCCGCTCGGGACGTCTTTACAAGACTGGAGATATAGTACGTTATAATTCAGACGGGGGCATGACTTTCCTAGGTCGAAAGGATGCTCAAGTCAAGATTAACGGTCAGCGACTGGAGCTTGGGGATGTTGAGTATCATGTGCGGTCGAATATTATCCATGACGGGCTTGTGCAGGTATTCGCTGAAATCATCAAGCCCCGGGGGAGCGAAAAGTCTCTCCTTCTAGCTTTCGTTTACACTGGGGGAAGATTATTGTCCACCAACAAGCAACGCGTTGAGCAGACCAAGAAGCTTACAGCTGGCCTTGATGAGAGACTTGGTTCCAAAATACCGAGCTTCATGATTCCGGCCGGTTATCTGCTAATAGACCATATTCCCATGACAACAACCGGCAAGACTGACCGTCGTCGATTGCGTGACATGGGCCAAGAGTTGACCTTTGAACAAGTCATGTCGCTCAATTCTCGCCAAGCCCAACACAAGCCGCCCAGCACAATCACAGAGAAGCGTCTGCAACGCCTTTGGGCATCCGTCCTAGGTGTCAAAGCTGACTCAATCAGCGCAAATGATAGTTTCCTCAGGATTGGAGGGGATTCTATTGGTGCCATGAAGCTGGTGGGACTTTCTCGTGAGGAGGGACTCAGCCTCACGGTCACGGATATATTCAAACAACCCAAGCTGTGCGATTTGGCCTTGGTGGTGACGCAGGTCTCTAGCATTGATCTTGACACTATTCAGCCCTTTTCTCTCCTTAACCACGGTATTAATTCTCAGGTGGCGCGGAATAAGGTTGCTGAGCTGTGTCAGGTTGATAGCTATAAGATCCAAGACGTATTTCCGTGCACGCCGTTGCAAGAAGGCCTTCTTGCACTGACGGCTAAGCGAGCCGGTGACTATGTGGCTCAGTATGAGATGCCACTGCGAGAGACCACTGATGTGGTTAGGTTCCAAAAGGCTTGGGAAGAGGTCTTGCGGATGGACCCAATTCTGCGCACGCGAATTGTCGACCTGCCAGGCCAAGGGTTGGTCCAAGTCATTCTAGAGCAAGATGTGGTTTGGACACAATGCTCCAGTGTCCGAGAGTATAGAGAAACAGACGAGAAGCTCGGGATGGGATTAGGCAACGGACTTATTCGATACGCTATCATCCACGAGTCCGATCACAAGCAACATTCTGTTTTCATGTGGACGATACATCATGCCCTCTATGATGGATGGTCTATGCCGCGCATTCTAGAGAGGCTGGAAGTGGCATACAGGGGAGAGGTGGCTCTTCAGGAGGCTCCTCCGTTTCAACGCTTTGTTGAGCACATTATGAGTATTGACGAGGAACGCACGAAGAGTTTCTGGCAGGCACAGTTTGAGAATTCCGAGGCCCGAGTGTTCCCTTCTTTGCCGTCTCCCGCGTATCAACCGCTTGCCAACTCATCCATCTCCCACTGCATTGGCGACCTAAATTGGCTAGACAGCGATATCACAGCATCCACAGCCATTCGCACAGCATGGTCTATCTCAGCGGCGAAGTACTCAAACTCGAGTGATGTGGTTTTTGGAGCTACAGTGAACGGTCGGCAGGCTGATGTCGAGCAAGTGGGCGAGATGACGGGTCCTACACTCGCAACCGTGCCCGTCCGAGTGGTCTTGGATTGGGAAAAGACCGTTGAGACTTGTCTTGAACAGGTTCAAGCCCAATCCGTGGAAATGGCCGAATTTGAGCAGACGGGGTTGCAAAATATTCGTCAAATAAGCGCCAAAGCGAAGCAGGCCTGCGACTTTCAAACGCTTTTGCTCATACATCCTCCAGAGGAGGCAGCGCAATCCGAGTCTCCGATCTTTGCCCTAAAGGATCAAGGTAGTAGTGATGGAGATGATGAAGAGGTCCAACTATCAGAGTTTGACACACACGCCATCACAATTGAATGTGATCTATTGCAGCGTGGTCTGAACGTGAGAATCGAGTTTGATCACAACATCTTGACTCAGCGTCGGATCGTAAGACTAGCTGCACAGATGGAGCATATTCTGCGGCTATTGTGTGACCCAAAGCAAGCCAAGAGGCGATTGGGAGACTTGGACCTGATTAGCAAGGGAGATCTTGAAGATATCTGGGGGTGGAACGCTACTGTTCCGGAGACGGTTCAGGGTCTTGTGCACGATATAATCATCGCAAAGGCTCGGAAACAGCCTAAAGCCCCTGCTATATCCGCGTGGGATGGCAATCTTAGTTATGGGGAGCTCGATGACTTGTCATCACGTCTAGCTAATCATCTACTGCATTTCGGAGTAGGACCAGAAGTCATTGTTCCTCTGTGCTTTGAGAAATCCAGATGGACTCCAGTTGCGATGCTTGGTGTCATGAAGGCCGGCGGGGTTTGTGTTATGCTGGATCCAAACTTGCCCGAGGATCGACTCGTGAGCATTTTGCAGCAGGTCAAGCCGAAACTTGTGCTCTCGTCTCTGGAAAACAAGGCGGTCGCCACCGGTCTGTCAGATGGCAAGCCTGTAATTGTGATTGATGAAAACCTGTTGCTTTCACTGGGAGTGCACGATTCAGAGGTCCTACCTAAAGTGCTGCCGTCAAACACGCTCTACATTGTCTTCACCTCGGGCAGCACCGGTATTCCTAAGGGCGTACGGATTACGCATGCCAATTTCAGCAGCTCTCTGCTACACCAACATAGCGCTCATAGTTTTGACAGCCGGCCGGATGCGCGAGTTTACGACTTCGCGTCCTATACATTTGACACATCTTGGCAGAACATGCTGGCGACCTTTGACTGTGGTGCCTGTTTATGTATTCCATCAGAAGACGAGCGACGCGATGATCTAGCTGGTTCGATTCAACGATTCCGGGTCACACATTGTGAATTAACTCCCTCAACCGTCAGGGTGCTACCTTTGTCAACCCTCAAGTCCCTCGATACTTTGATCTTGGGAGGTGAGAGGCTGCAAGATGAGTGCGCCAAGAAATGGGCGCCTCTCGTGAATCTCAAGAACTCATATGGTCCTTGCGAATGTACGCCGACATCTACCGTTGCCGATGTAGACCCAATCAATCCCAACGCAGCGCGCATAGGCACAGGAAGAGGTGTCAACACTTGGATTGTAGACACTATAACTGGCAAGTCCTTGGTGCCTATAGGAGGCATCGGTGAGTTGATGCTCGAGGGACCACTTGTCGGGCCTGGCTATCTCGAAGATGTTGAAAAGACTGCTTCTGTCTTCATTAATAAACCATCCTGGCTTGCCCGAGGAGCTCCAGGCCATCCCGGCCGTGAGGGACGTTTGTATAAAACCGGCGACTTGGTCTACTACGACGAAGACGGTGCCCTCAATTTTGTCGGGCGCAAGGATGCTCAAGTCAAGATTAACGGCCAACGTGTGGAACTAGGTGATATAGAAAACCACGTTGCGCGCCATCACTTGACAAGACAATCAGTATGCCTGTTGCCCAAATCGGGGCCTTGGGCTAACACGCTCGTTTGCATCTTCAGCGTCCAGAATAGGCAGCCTAGTCGTGATCAACTTGACGTAGACCAAGATCAACGATCGCCTTCTCCGGCCACCAGCTCGGCATCGCCTGAAAGCAGTCTTTCCAGTAGCTTGAGCTTCACGGAGGATTCCACGCTTTTGGACTCGCCGCCCGGCGCCGAGATAACGGTTGAAAACCTCACTGGTGCTATTCAAGGTCACATTGAAGATATGGAGAGTAACCTTGAGAGCTCTCTACCTTCCTACATGGTTCCCACAAAATGGATTGCCTTGAAGGACATCCCTCTTAATCCATCCGGCAAGCTAGACCGCAAGAAGCTTGAATTGTGGCTTATTGAAATGGAGCAAGAGATGCATGCCAAGCTGTTCAACATTGGTGATAGCGCTATTTGTCAAGAACCGGATACCCAAGCCCAACGAGTTTTAAGGAATGCTTGTAGCCTTGTTTTGAACGTTCCGGCCTCTGAAATCAATCTTCAGCGCTCCTTCATATCAAATGGAGGAGATTCTATATCGGCTATGCGACTGAGCCCATACTGCCGTTCCGAAAACGTAATCTTCTCTGTGGCCACTTTACTCAAGTCCAGGACTTTGGCTGAGGTGGCCAACCTCGCTTCTGCTGCTACAGGAACAGAGCTCTTTCACAGCACGGAAGAGTTTAACAAACCATTTGCCATGACACCAATTCAGCAATGGTTCTTTGACCAAGCTCCCAATAACCTCGTCAACACGCCAAGTCACCACTGTAACCAATCGTTCTACGTTCGCATCAACCAGAAAATCGACCCAGAGGATATCCGCAGAGCGCTTGCAAAACTCGTGGACGTACATTCGATGCTCCGTGCCCGCTTTGAGCTTCAAGATTCTGTATGGACGCAGACTATCCCTCCAACGGATGAAGCAATATATCATTTTTCCATTGTAAAGCTAGAGTCAATAACAGAGATGCAATCTCTCGCTGGGCGTCGTCAACAGCTTCTAGATATCGAGCGGGGCTTGGTATTTTCTGCCGATCTCTGTCAACTTAATGTAGATGAGCTTTATCTCGTTCTGATAGCCCATCACCTGGTCATTGACCTTGTCTCTTGGAGAATTATTCTAGATGATTTAGAAATTCTTCTTACAGGAGGAACTCTGCCGCCAAGCTTGCCGTTCCAGATTTGGAGTGGGCTGCAACAGGAGGAGGCGAAAACCTCTAGGTTCGACCCGCAGCATGTCTTGTCCACAGGAGGTGTCTGCAATGATCTGAATTTCTGGGGCTTTACTTCAGAGACTCCAAACGCAACATGTGACCATATCGAAAGATCATTCAAAATCGATAGGCACACCACATCACTCGTTCTGAAGGATGCAAATTACGCCTTTGGCACTGAACCCGTCGAGCTGCTCCTTTCAGCATTGTGGGACGCTTTCTTTTCTACCTTTCCATCACGAAATAACCTCACGATTTTCAACGAGGGGCACGGCCGTGAGCCCTGGAGTGCTGAGATTGACCTATCTCGAACAGTGGGCTGGTTCACCACAATGAGCCCGATACATATCGCACGACAGGACAAAGGTAGTAACCTTGCGGACATTGTTCGAATTGTCAAGGATGCAAGGAGGAAACAGCCCGGCAATGGATGGGCTTACTTCACTTCAAGGTATCTGAACAACAAAGGGGTTGATGCTTTCAGTTCCCACGATTCGGCAATGGAGATGGTTTTCAACTATCATGGTCAGTTCCAGCAGCTAGAATGCAAAGATTCCTTCTTCAGAAGCATTACACTTGATAATGTATCTGATGTGGGGGCGGACCTCCCCGCCTCTTCGCTGTTCAACATCAACATGTCTATCGAGGGAGGAGAGACTCATGTCTCATTCGCATGGAACAAACACATCTGCAAACAGGATCTTATCAATCAATGGGTTGATCGGATTGGCAGCTGTTTACAGTCATTGTGCGAGAATTTGGTTTCTAAGCCGATGGAACGAACACTCGTCGACTTTGAGTTTCTGAATCTAGACTACGCGGGCTTGGACAGGCTGCAAAGAAACGCCATTCCTGAAATCGAGAAGCTCAACCGTACAAGAGTAGAGGACATTTACCCTTGCTCTCCAATGGTGGAAGGAATGCTTCTGAGCCAGTCCAAGGGGGTTGGGTTTTACGAAACTTCTCAGTTTTATGAGATTAGGCCGCGTAGCTCTCGTGCTATTAACCTAGACCAGTTGTCTTCTGCTTGGCGAGATGTTATTGCACGCCAACCATCTTTGAGGAGTATTTTCATCGAGAGTCTAGACTCAGGTTCCGTGCATAATCAAGTCGTCCTGGAGGAGTGTGAGGGTGATATTGTGCTGCTCGAAAGTAACAACCTGCAAGCTGCACAATCGCTACTTCGGAATCTTCCAAAGGTGGCATACCACCAACTCAGGCCCCCTCACCGCATAACACTTTGTAAAATCATCGATACGAACAGTGTCCTTTGCCGAATGGAAATGAGTCACACAATCACAGACGGTGCATCTACTGGTATTGTCATTGAAAACTGGGCTAGGGCTTATGACGGCATCTTGCACAAAGACAACCTAACCGAGACGTGCCGCGGTTTTGCGCGTGTTTTGAAGGCCAATCTAGCGGAAAGCAAGAAGAGTTATTGGAAGAAAAAGTTGAATGGCCTTCAACCTTGTCTATTTCCACATCTGGAAAAGATATCGCAGCCTTCGGAAGTGGTTTCGTGGTCAGTTGTTGATATAGATGGGGCAGATTTCGCTTCTGTGCAAAAGTTTTGCGAGTCTCACTCAGTCACGCCGGCCAGTCTTTTCCATTCAGCCTGGGCTCTCACATTGGCATCGTATGCAGGCATGCAGAATGTTTGTTTTGGCTATGTCGCATCAGGTAGAGACCTTGACGTTCCCGGAATTGGGGAAGCTATTGGCGCGTACGCAAATATGCTTGTGTGTCGCGCAGACATTTCACCAGACTGGACGAAGCAACGATTTGTACAAACTCTTCACCATCAAGTGTTAGAGGACATGGAATGGCAACACTGCTCTCTGGCGGATATTCAACATGATTTGGGAATTGTTTCCGGGCAGCAGCTGTTCAACACCATCATGTCTTTCCAAAAGGATGCCGATGATGCTGGGACTATCAGTGGAGGCTTAGACTTCATCGACGCTGACGGGGACGACCCCACGGAATACGATGTTTCTATCAGCATAACATTTAGTGCTGAGTTGGTGAAGCTGTTCGTCAACTGTGTGCCATCTGGGTTTAGCAACGAGCAAGCACACCGCATTGTGTCCTTACTCAGGGCAACAGTCCTCCAAATAGTGAGTCACGACGATCTCCGACATGAGCAGAACCTGGTGCGCAGCATTGATAGGGTAGCCGCCAAGGACCTTCAGGCGATTTGGGAATGGAACTCGGTCCTCCCCGAGACTGTAAATACATGTCTCCATGAACTCATTGCTCAGACGGCTCAAAGACAGCCTGAGTCGTGTGCTGTCGATGCATGGGATGGCAACTGGACCTACCGCGAACTAGAGCATAGGTCCACTCAACTCGCGCATCATCTTATCAAGCTGGGCGTCAGGCCCAATACTGTTGTTGCTTTGGATCTCGAAAAGTCGCGATGGACGCCCCTTGCCATGCTAGCAGTCATGAAAGCTGGAGGAGCTTCTGTTTTGCTGGATACATCCCTATCTGGTGATATTATTAACTCGATTATGGAGCAATCAAATCCCTCCCTCTTGGTCATCTCGAATTTGACGAAAGGAATCACGCGCAAGCTCTCAAATCTTCCAGTGATGATCATGACCGACACTACCCTGGACACATTGCCTGAAGATCCTGCTGCTTCTCTACCTACTGTTCGCTCAACAAGTCAGGCGTGCCTTATCTTTGCCACGAGCAAAGCCGGTTCACTCTTTGGCTCTATCTTCACCCATGTAAACCTTTCCAGCCTTGTGAAATACCAGCAAAGCGCCTTAGGATACAAGTCTAACTCCAGGGTCTACGATTTCATGCCATGTGCGTCCCATATAACCTGGAAGGTGTTTGCACATACTTTCACAAGCGGTGCTAGCCTCTGTATTCCTTCAGAACACAAACACCAGACAATTACTCAGTCAATAATCCAATGGCAACCGACAATATTGAACATTAATGTGTCAGATGTGGCTTGCCTTGACGAAAGCTGCGCCCAGTCACTACAAACGTTAATATTAGACGGAGAACGTGTATCCCCGGACATAGTCAGAAGGTGGAGTTCATTAGTAGACCTCAAGTTTGCATACGGCTTCTGCGAAGGCTCAATGGCGGCTACCGTGGGAACTATTCGCAAAGAGGATGCCAGTGACCCAAGCATCGGAAGAGGCCTTGGTGTGAACACTTGGATTGTTGATCCTCAAGACAGCGGGAAACTTGTGCCCATCGGGAGCGTTGGCGAGCTTGTGTTGGAGGGGCCTTTGATTAGCATACGTCATGGAGGTGATAATGAGGATGCGGCGGCAGCTTTCGTTGACAATCCACCATGGCTCAACCGTGGCTGTGAGGTTCTGAGCCATCCAGGCCGCAGAGGGGAACTCTTCAAAACTGGCGATCTATTCCGCTACAACGCAGATGGCACATTGGTTTTCGTTGCTCATAAAGATGTCATGGTGAAGATTCAGGGCCAGCATGTGGAGCTGGAAGAAATTGAGTATCACATGCTCAGTCTGTCGTCGGTACGTCAAGCGGCTTGCCTGATTCCCAAGGCTGGGCACTACGCCGGCAAGCTTGTTGGTGTCTTTAGTCTTGATGGAATCTGCGAGAGCAGTAGTGACATTGGAAGTATCGCTACACATCTCATCCCAAGAGACAAGTCTGAGGATGTACAGGGGTGTATCGCGTCTTTGCAATGTATGCTGGATCAGTCAGTTCCTGCTTTCATGGTTCCAACTGTCTGGGTAGCTCTGAAAAACATCCCTTTGCACCCATCAGGCAATTTGAACCGAAAGTTGCTCGATAACTGGCTTCGTACGCTCGATGCGGAAACATACGCTAGAATATCTAGCATAGGCTCATCTTCCTGCGACCCAGTAACAACAGCAGAAAAAGTGATCCGAGATGCATGTAGTCACGTTCTCAGTATCCCCATCAACCACATCAACATGCAGCGGTCTTTGATCGCCAATGGCGGTGATTCTATATCTGCCATGCAAATCAGCCCGTTGTGTCGAGCATCTGGAATCTCTGTTTCTGTCGCCTCGCTGCTCAGAAGCAAGACGCTCGTCGGCGCAGCCGAATCGGCAACAGTTACCACGGGACCCTCTGTGTCTTGTGAGCAAGAATTTGACAAGCCTTTCAACCTCTCTCCAATCCAACAATGGTTCTTCAGGCAGTGTCCGCCTGAAAAGGTGAATTCAACAGCTTACTACAGTAACCAGGCCTTTTATGTTCGTGTAAGACGCCAGGTACAGCCTGATGATGTATCCAATGCCATTCGAAGTCTTGTCGACCAGCATTCGATGTTATTGGCACGGTTCTCATTTGATCAAACGACAAGTTCGTGGACACAGCTTGTTCCTCAACCAAGCGACGCTGTCTACCATTTTGCATCCTCACAGGTGGAGTCTCTTGCTATTGTTGAGTCTATTGTAGCTCAGCGTCACCAAGAGCTTGATATAGAGAAAGGGTTAGTTTTTGCTGCGGACTTGTTCACCATTCCGTCAAGTGACCAGTACCTCACACTTATTGCTCATCATTTGGTTGTCGACTTGGTGTCGTGGCGCATTATTTTGGATGATTTGGAGGTTCTGCTGAACGGTGACAACATTCATAAAGAGCTGCCATTCCAAGCTTGGCAGAATTTACAGAGACAAGAAGTTCAGGCGCCAAATTACGCACCTAAGAAAGTGTTGTTCAGCGAGGTGCGCAACGACCTTGAATTCTGGAATTACACTTCAAGCACCCCGAACACCTTTAACGATCACATTGAGCAATCATTTGAGGTTGGCCGTGAGACAACTGCAGTTTTGCTTGGGGAAGCCAACAGGGCTTTTGGCACGGAGCCAGTTGATTTGATTCTGGCGTCAGTTTGGAATGCATTCTTTGACACCTTTAAGACACGTACTGGCCTTACCATCTTCAACGAAGGGCACGGGCGAGAACCCTGGAGCAGTGACATTGACTTGTCCCGTACTGTTGGTTGGTTCACCACAATGACACCAACGCATCTATCTCGCGAAGACACGGCGAGTAACTTTGCGAGGGTAATCAAAGACGCACGAAGGCGACTCCCATCGAATGGTTGGGCCTACTTCACCTCACGTTATCTCAACGATGAGGGCATCAAAGCCTTTAGCTCTCATGATAATGTCATGGAAGTGCTATTTAACTATCACGGCCAGTTTCAGCAGATCGAAACTGATTCTTTATTCGAGAGTGTCGCATTTGATGGTGTTTCTGATGTTGGATCCGAGCTGCCCACCTCTGCACTCTTTAGTATCGACGTCTCCATTGTAGATGATCTTATCAAGTTTAGCTTCTCTTGGAACCGGCATATCAGTCATCAAGATCTCATCCGAGATTGGGTCGCGCGAGTTGTTCCGTCGATGCAGACCCTCTCCAGGTCCCTGTTGGCTTTGAAGCCTTCGCTCACAATTGCGGATTACGAGTTTCTGGACTTGGATTACAACGGTCTGGACGAGTTGCAAAATCGTATTCTTCCTTCCCTCCAGCCCGAGCTTGCCACGACTATTGGCGACATTTATCCTTGCTCACCCATGGTCGATGGCATGCTGCTCAGTCAGATCCGGAATCCTGAAACTTACATGACATCGATCATGTATGAGATACAGACTAGCCAGGGGCGTCTCGATAGGGATACACTGATCGAGGCATGGCAAGCAGTTATTACGCGCCATCCAGCCCTTCGCAGCGTTTTTGTCGAAGGTGTTGACAAGAAGTCGGCCTTTGCTCAGATTGTGCTAGAGACGTATCGAGGAGAGGTCGTGGTGCTCAAAGGCTCAACAAAGACTGCGGCTGTAGCTTTGATCCGGCAATTGCCTGTTATCAGCCATGGAAGATCAAAACCGCCCTGCCGTCTTGTTCTTTGCGAAGTTGAGGAAGATAGCTCGACCATCTGCCAGATCGAGATGAGCCACGCCATTGTTGATGGAGCATCTACAGCCATCATGTTGAATGACTGGTCCAGGGCTTACATCGGAATGCTGGGGGCAGAAGTGCTAAATGGGCCAAATCGCAGTTTAGCCCAGGCTCTCAGGACCAGCGATGCAGACAAGAAAATGATATACTGGAAGAACAAGCTAGCGGAAGTAGAGCCCTGTCACTTTCCTCGCTTGTCTGAATCGTCTCTTGTCGGCACTGCCACAGTCAGTGTCGACCTCGGCGGAGACGACTTTGCACGAATCCAGCATTTCTGTGAAGTCCATTCCGTTACTCCGGCGAGCATATTCCAGAGCGCCTGGGCGCTGATCTTATCAAGTTACACTGGCAACAATTCCGTATGCTTCGGATATATTGCATCGGGCCGTGATCTGCAGGTTGATGGGATCGGGGATTCCATCAATGCTTTCGCCAATATGATGGTTTGTTGTGCCAATGTATCGCGTGCTTGGACTCCAGAGCAGCTCGTCCAGCGGCTTCATGAGCAGTTCTTAGAAGACTTAGACTCTCAGAACTGTTCTCTCGCTGATATACAGCACGGGCTCGGGCTTACGCCCGGTATTTCTCTATTCAATACCATTGTTTCCTTCCAAAAGGATGATTTTGAGACGCAGGACAGTATGGATATCGGAGGACTAGTGTTTATTGATATTGATTCTGAAGATCCTACTGAGGTAAGTCATTGAACGCATAAAAAAAATGAATGTACACGATCTTGACAATTGGTGTTTCGCAGTACGACATTTCTTTTGATATTAGTTATGGCAAGAAAGAGGTATCATTCTCACTAGACTATCGCCAATCTTGTTTGACAAATAAACAAGCTGAGCGTGCCATTTCGCTTTTGAAGACCATCATCGCATCTCTCGTTGACGAAGAGGTACTGCTTGGTACCATCGCCGATATTAGCACGGTTGACCAGAACGATGTTGAGGAGATGTGGAATTGGAACTCTGTTGTTCCTGAAACAGTGGAATCCTTGACACATGATGTGATATCTGAAACGGCACTTAAGTTTCCCTCCGCCTTGTCCATCTGCGCTTGGGATGGAGATTGGACATATCAGCAGCTGGATAACCTGTCTACTACACTCGCTTATGAATTGGCTCGTCGTGGGGTCGGTCCTGAAACATTAGTTCCGCTCTGCTTTGAAAAGTCTCGTTGGGTACCAGTGGCGATGCTTGCTGTTATGAAGGCCGGTGGTGCGAGCGTGGTTTTAGACTCTACTCTTCCTCAAGAACGCTTACGAGTTATTCTACAACAAGTCTCACCGATTATCATCCTCAGTTCGTCTGCTAGCCAAGATATTATCAGACCCTTAAGCCAAGGGCCTATGTTTGTGGTCGAAGAGACGAATGTGGCTTGCTTGGAAGCGCCACTCGATGCCAGAACAGCCATTTCTGGTGTGATGCCCTCCAACACGCTCTATGTCGTCTTCACCTCTGGCAGTACCGGAACCCCAAAAGGCGTAACTATTAGTCACTCGAATTTCGTCAGTGCCCTCCGTCATCAAGATGGCGTGAATAACTTCAAGCCTGGCTCTCGAGTCTACGACTTTGCGTCTTACACGTTTGACGTGTGTTGGTCGAATGTGCTGAGCGCTCTTGCGTGCGGTGCCACTCTCTGCATTCCATCAAATTCTGAACGCCAGAGTGATCTGGCTGGATCACTAGAGAAATTCCAGGTCACTCACGTGGAGATGACTCCTTCAGCCGCCCAGCTTCTTCCGCCCAGGGTATTAAAGCGCTTGGACACGTTGATCCTTGGTGGCGAAACTCTTTCACCTGAATTGGCCAGATATTGGTCCAGCATGGTGAACAATGTTCAGAACTCATATGGACCGTGTGAATGTACACCTACCACCACAGCGGCGAACATTCACTCAAGTAACGTTGAAGCGGTTAATATTGGCCGCGGACTTGGCGTGAACACGTGGGTTGTGAGTACTGCAGGAGACTCTCTTGCACCACTTGGAAGCACTGGCGAGTTGCTTCTCGAAGGCCCACTTGTTGGTCCTGGGTATCTCAATGACGCGGAGAGAACCGCTGCTTCTTTCATCGAGGACCCTCCTTGGCTGCTCCGAGGCTCCGCGACCCATGCCGGACGCCGGGGACGCTTATACAAGACTGGAGATCTTGTTCGCTATCTGCCAGACGGGAGTTTGGCCTTTCTGGGCCGAAAAGACAGTCAGGTCAAAATCAACGGCCAGCGTCTGGAACTCGGGGATATTGAGTACTACGTCCGATCCAGTATCACCTGTAGCTACCCTGTTCAAGTAGTTGTGGATGTGGTGAAGCCTCAAGACAGCGAGAAGCAGATGATTGTGGCTTTCTTAGCCGTTGAGGGGGAAGTGTCTCCAGACTTGGACGAGATCACAGATGGTCTTGTTGACAGACTCACGAGCCAGGTACCTGCATACATGATTCCGACTGCTTACATGTTGCTTGGGAGTATACCAATGACACCTTCGGGCAAGACGGATCGGCGCTCGCTCCGCGCCATGGCCGGGCAACTTACAAGAGTCGAGCTCACGGCGCATGGTCCGACTCAGAGGACCAGAAGGAAGCCAACGACATCCCGAGAGATTCAGCTCCAAAGTCTCTGGTCCACTGTCCTCGGATTACCTCGCGAATCTATCGGCAGCAACGACAGCTTCTTGCGCCTTGGGGGCGATTCTGTTGGTGCCATGAAGCTTGCCGGTCTGGCGCGTGACTGTGGGCTTTCGGTCATGGTGACTGACATATTCAAACATCCACGCTTAACTGATCTTGCTAAAACTATTCGAAACTCAGCCGCCAATCAACCTAAAATCTCCGCGCCATTCTCGTTGCTACACGGAGATCATACGCCATCCGAGATTCGGGCTCGAATTTCTCAGCTCTGCAACATTGACGCTGCACACGTTGAAGACGCATTTCCCTGCACACCCTTGCAGGAAGGCCTAATGGCTCTGACTTTGAGACGATCAGGAGACTATATCGCCCAGAACACTTTTCAGCTCCAATCTACCATTGATATCAATCTCTTCCAACGGGCTTGGGAGCATGTTCTGGAAACAACGCCTATTCTGCGAACGCGCATTGTCGATATTGGTCTCCAAGGTTTGACTCAAGCGATTGTCTCGGACGAATCGATTACATGGCCAGAAATCACTAGTACTGTTGTCTACCTGGAAAATGACAAGCAGCTGGGCATGGGCTTGGGCACACCTCTCATGCGATATGCCATAACCAGAAACTCAAATGACCAATACTCTTTCATCTGGACTATACACCACGCCTTGTATGACGGCTGGTCAATGCCACTTGTTCTTGAGAGACTTGAGATGGCATACAATGGAACGGTCTTGCAAGCGCCACCCCCATTCCAAAACTTCATCAAATTTATCAGCCAAGGTGATGGAAGAGCTGCTTACGATTTCTGGACCTCACAATTTGGACAGATCCAGGCTCAGTCATTCCCATCACTACCCTCGCCTGTCTACCAGCCTCGCTCAGACAGTGGAGTTTCGTATCACATCAAAGACATGGCGTGGCCAAAAACGGATACGACAGCATCAACCGCTATCCGTGCGGCCCTTTCCATCCTAATCGCAGCCTACTCTGATGATTCGCATGCCCTATTTGGTGCGACTGTCACTGGTCGCCAAGCGCCAGTCTCAGGGGTCGAGAGCATGACAGGTCCAACTATTGCTACAGTACCGATCAAGGTAGCCCTCGATAAAGCAAGCACTGTGAACCAATTTCTGCACCAAATACAGGACCAAGTTGTCGATATGACAGCATTTGAACAGACTGGTCTGCAGAAAATCCAAAAAGTCAACGATTTTGCCAGACAAGCCTGTGAGTTTCAAACACTGCTGCTCATCCATCCATTTGAGCAGCCAAACAACTCCACGAGTCCTCTTTTCTTTGACATGGATGATGAGGTCGTAAAAGATGGCCTTGTGAATGGAGATGAGGCCGAGGATGATTCTTTCTCCAACTTTGATACACATGCCATCACCATCGAGTGCGATCTTGAGCCAACGGGCGCGTTGCTTCGCGTGCGATTCGACTCTCAAGTCATCAACAAGGTCCAGGTGAAGAGACTCGCGACTCAGTTTGACGTGATTCTACGTCAGCTGTGCGACCCAGAATGGGCACAACGCAAGCTTGTCGACATCAACACCGTGAGTGCCAGGGACTTGGAACAGATTTGGCATTGGAACGCAGCCGTGCCTGAGACCATCAACTATACTGCGCATGACTTAATTGCCGAAAACGCTTCCAAGTATCCCGATTCACCGGCAGTGTGCGCGTGGGATGGCCACTGGACATATCAAGAACTAGAGTCGATTGCAACCCACATCGCTCATCGACTTGTGACGCTAGGCGTTGGCCCTGGTGTTATTATACCTCTTTGCTTCGAAAAGTCTCGCTGGATGCCTGTAGCTATGCTTGCTGTTATGAAAGCAGGGGGCGCTTCCGTGGCTTTAGATACCACGTTGCCTCAAGACCGGCTCCGCGCTATCTTGCAGCAAGTTGATCCGCTTATGATCCTATCCTCCTCGTCAAGTCAGAAGCTCGCGAAACAGCTGGCGAGTCGAAACATGGTGGTTTTGGGCGACGACTACGGAAATGACCTTTACAAACACCCTTTGCACAAGACGCTTCCGAAAGTTGAGCCGTGGAACAATCTTTATCTCGTCTTTACGTCGGGAAGCACCGGCGTTCCAAAAGGTGCAATAGTTACTCATTCCAACTTTATGAGCGCCATTCACCATCAGCAAGCAATTACAGGCTTCAACAGATCATCACGTGTATATGACCTCGCAAAGTATGCTTTTGATATCAGCTGGTCCAATTTCATACATACATTGGCTGCTGGTGGTTGCCTTTGTATTCCTTCTCAGGAAGAGGCTATCAATGATATTCCTGGCTCAGTCCGGGCGTATGATGCCAATTTCATAGACATTACACCTTCTGTGGCAAGCACACTACGACCGTCGGACTTGGGAAGCCTGAAGACCGTTGTATTTGCTGGGGAGGCGCTTTCCAATCACCAGGTTTCACAATGGTCAAAGCATGCACGTGTGCTCAACATGTACGGTCCGGCAGAGTGCACCGTCAAGGCTACAGTGGCCGAGATCAACGGATCCGCCTCGTCGTCAGCGGCTAGCATCGGTCGTGGTGTTGGTCTGTGTACTTGGGTTGTCGATCCTTCAGACGCCCTTAGATTGGCCCCAGTGGGCACAGTAGGCGAGTTGGTATTGGAAGGGCCGCTTGTTGGATCCGGATATCTCAATGACTCTGCAAAGACTGCAGAGGCTTTTATTGATAATCCACCGTGGCTGCTCCACGGTGGTCCTGCCCGTCAAGGCCGCAGTGGGCGTGTATACAGGACTGGTGATCTCGTTCAATATGACATCGACGGGAACCTCACATTCATCGGTCGAAAGGACGGCCAGATCAAGATCAACGGCCAACGATTGGAACTCGGCGATGTCGAATACAATCTCGCGGAAAGCCTTGGGACCGAAATAGAGGTCCAGCTTGCCGCTGAAATAATAACCCCCAGTGATGGTGACAAGCCGATCTTGGCTGCCTTCATACAGTCATCCGGGCAGTTTGAAGATTTGGAGTCGGAAGTACAGGCACTAACGAAGGGTGTCAATGACCGCCTTGTCTCTAAGGTCCCTAGACACATGATTCCGTTGGCCTATATTATGATTGATAAGCTACCGCTCTCTGCGACTGGCAAGTTAGACCGCAAGCAACTCCGATCATTGGGAGCGAGCATGACACTGTCGGATATTACAAGGTCAGCACACTCGCAGGAAGAACGCCGGCCGCCATCGACAGCGGCAGAGCTATGTATGCAGAAAGTTTGGGCTCGCACTCTCGGTGTTGACTCCGGTTCAATTAGTGCTGACGATAGTTTCCTCCAACTTGGCGGTGACTCCATTCTCGCTATGAAGCTCACCACCCAGGCCCGAAGCGAAGGGTACGAGCTCTCTGTTGCCGACATACTCAACAGTCCAAAGCTATCAAACATGGCCTTGCATCTGCGAAATGGGGACGATAGGTCTGTTGTTCCTATACCGAATTACCAACGATTTTCGCTTTTGCTACCAGAAAGCCGACCGGCAATTGAGCAGATCCTATTTCATCTCGGTATCCCAATGGACAATGTGGAGGACATTCTTCCTGTTACCGACCAGCAGACTCGCTATCTTCTAACGAGTTACACATCGGCTCGTAGCTCCGTGTACTACCACACACGCGAACTGTCCCATGATTTCGATGTTAACAATATTCAACAAGCCTGTCTCCGTCTTGTCAAACGTCTTGATATGCTGAGAACGGTCTTTTTTGCATATAAGGATGAGTTCATGCAGGCTGTGCTCACACAGACAGCTGGAGAAATTGACGTCTTTCGGACTGCGGTAGAGAGTTTGGACGACTTTACATTGATGCTGAAGAAGCAAGACTTGCTGTGCAAAATGGAATTTGGAAACCCGCCCGCCAAAATCCGCATCATTCACCAAACGCGTGAGCAAAAGGCTCGCATTGTGATTCGTCTTTCTCATGCCCAGTATGACGGAACAGCACTAGCCAAATTGTGGTCCGCTTTCGATGAGTGCTTCAGCTCAGCCTCGAATAATGATATGAGCACCGGGTCGAGTTTCTCTCATTATATGCATGCTCTGTCCCTAGTCGATAAGCAAAGCTCAGCAGAATATTGGCGAGAGATGCTCCAAGGAAGCACGCGGACACCCATCAAAAGCCAGTCGGCGCCCCGTCTCGGCTACGGGCTTGGTCCAACCGTTGTCAAGACTATACCAGCATGTAATTTGCAGTCTGGAGACTTTACCTTTGCTACCGTCCTAAAAGCATCGTGGTCATATGTCCTCGCAAAACACTCAGCAACTGGCGACGTTGTTTTTGGCACCCTGGTACACGGCCGCAACCTGCCAGGCACGCAACACGTTTTCGGTCCCTGCGTTAATATCGTCCCTTGTCGCCTCATCTTCCAAGAGAACTGGACGGCTCGGGATCTCATTTCCGCCATCAACTCTCAGCAGGTTGCCAGCATTCCATATGAGACAATGGGCTCCCGAGACATCATTCGCAACTGCACAAGTTGGCCCAAGTGGGCCTATTTCAGTTCAGTCATTGTGCATCAGAATTATGAGAATCGCCAGGAAGAAGACCCTATTAAAGATTTCGACCATTCCGACCTTTCGACGGGCGATATTGACAGTGTCGAGGTCTACATCACTTCTACACCAGGCCCGGAGAGCACAGAAATCGACCTAACCTTTGCCCACGATGCTGTCCCTCCTTGTCTAGCAAATCAGCTCTCTTCGGATCTGACTCGCACCATCACTGAGTTCTACAAAGACTTGGACACGAAATTGATGCCGCCAGCCGACATTCAGAATCAACCAGCCTTGCTGCCTGTGGCAGGTGATGCAAGGACGAATGTGGCTCCGCCAACTAGCGAGCAAATAATGATGCTGAAGAGTTGTCCGAGCAAGCTAAGAGATGACCTCGGCAACGCTTGGAGATACGTGCTGAGACAACAAGACGTGCCTAGTGATCTGTCTTGCGAGACATTTTTCGAACTGGGTGGTGATGCCCACAATGCGGGCCAGTTGGCCGCTCATATGCAACGGCAAGGCTATCGGTTCAGAATTGAGGATGTTTTTGAGCATCCGACATGGTTTGATCTTCTACTTGAAACTATGAAGCAGTAGTAACCGTGGATGCCATTACGAAGGAAAAGGGGGAGTTTGGGGTTTTGGAAGAGTCTAAAGGGGAGAAGAATGGATGAGTCGGCAGGCCACCTGCCCAAGCAAGCCTACCCTGGATCCTATGAAGGGTGAAGATTCGCCAAGGATCGTTTTTGTATAGCACTCGCTCGGCAATTTTTGGCGGTATTTTTAATTTCTTTGCATGGGTGGGCATGTACTTGAAGGGCCGTCTTTTTGGCGTTTTGAATTGTTTTCGTTTCGGTCGGAGTTATTGATTTATACCTTACTTTAGGAGGGCAAGTGGGTGGAATAAAACGTGGCACACTAAAGCTCATTCCGCGTGAGGCAGGGACCTAGTTTTCTAACTACCTAATTACCGTACAATAATAAGAGAATAATAAACTATTCTATAATATTTAGCTCAATATTGTATTCAGTACTAGGTTATTTAATGTGATATTGTGTTAGGATTCATTGCTGAACTATCTCGACGTGCCATGTTTTATTTCACTTACTTGGATGGTTGGATATAGTGGATCATTATATTATGTCTTAATACACCAACATTCAATCAAATTTGCCAGTTACATATTCTGTCTCTGAGTCACTCACATCTCTCACTACCTGGCGTAAGTATCCAATAAATAGTACCACCGATTCTCTTGTATGCTTTTGAAAATAGAGGCGTGGAATGTCGTGGCGCAAGGCTAGTAAACCGAGAGAAGGTCGTCGGTCATCACATCAGCCAGAGCCCGCCAATATAACCCGAATAGCATCGTCCACTCACATCTACGACCATACCTGCGAGTCAGCACTGGATCCCGTCTGCTCTCCGCACGTTAAGCTCGCAAGGGGCCGATTAGTAGCTGGGTCGGTGACGACCAGCGAATCCCGGCTGTTGTAGGTTTTCATTTTGGCTTCTTTTTTGTAGCCTCTTCCTTGTTCTTGTTTTTGATTGGGTAGGCTACTTGACGAGTATTACCAGATAGAAAATGCACTGGTATCTGGCGGTTTGATGTGGGTGGGCTCCGAACATAAGGTAACTAGTAATTTGACCTACTGTGCGGAAGGAGCTTATGGAGACATAGCATAGCAGATTCTAGACAATTTGGTTCATGTGACTGATTGATCAGAGAGAAAAAAAAAGAACTGTATTGTGGTATATATAAAACAACAATCTTAGAAAGCACACTGTGTGCTGTTGTATGAAAGACAATGCTTCAAATCTAGTTATGCTTATCATGATTCCACCAACGCCGGATATCCCTATCAATCAATACACTCCTATACATGCAAATTCGTCGTTTATCAACTTTCCCCCATTTTGAATTTGGTGGTCGACTTTTAGTTGGGGGTGATGTTACGGGCAGCGATGGTGCCGTCGAAGCTTCCCAGCCCTCCGACCTGGACTCCGCCTTCAGAGCGGATAGGAGAGGGCTGGTGGTGTGGGGGAATGTCCTGGACAATACTGCTGAGAACCTCCTCCCTAGTCACATTAAGCTTCTCCTCAGGAAGACCCATGGACTTGAAGAAGTGAACAGTCTGGGTCCACTCGAGCTGCTTGCGGGCCTCGGTCCAGTTGAGCTCCTCGGCCATGATATCAATGACACGGGGAAGGGCCTTGAGGGCAACCCCAACGTCGAGGAAAGCCATACGAGTACGGCGGGAGATCAAATCAGCAGCAGTGCAGGCTGACTCGGAGCGAACACCGTGGCGGAATTCGGCCTCGATGAAGGGAAGAGTGGGAACAACTCGAGAGGTGGCGTTGGTAGCGAGAACAGCCCAAGCGCGGTCGCCATAGTTGATCGCAAGATGCTCAGCGACATCACGGTCGACAGAGTGGACTGACATGAGCTGGGAGGCGAGTTCAGGTGAGTATCCATGGGCACCGACAAGGGGAGTAGTAAGAGTGCAGCATTTGCCAGTAGTGTAGAAACCTGGGAGACCGGTACCGCTGATGTCGGGGAGAGGAATAGAGCTGGGCTTGAGGTTGAATGTTTTGACGGCTTCATCGACAGCATCCTCAGCCATTTGACGGTAGGTGGTCCACTTGCCACCGGCGCATGTGAGGAGACCAGAGGGGGAGACAGTAACGAGATGACTGCGGACGAGAGACTCGGTGTTCTTGGCCTTGGGATCCCTGACAAGGGGACGGATACCTGGTTTTTCAGTTAGTTGAGATCCTTGATAAATTCTACTGAGAGTCACATACCGGACCAGCTGGCGAGGACATCATTGCGAGTGACAGCGGCTTCGGGGAGGAGCAATTTATTGACCTCAGTCAGAATGAAGTCAACGTCCTTCTCAAGAGCAACAGGTTCTCTCTCAACTTCGCATGCATTGTCGGTGGTACCAGCGAGTGTCTTTCCCTGCCAAGGGAGAACGAAGACAACACGGCCGTCAGAAGTGGAAGCTTCAAGCAGACCCTTTCCATTGGGGCAGATACGGCCAGGGAGAATGACATGTGCACCAGAGGCAGGGGAAACTAGAGGCTTTCGGCTACCGTCATCCATATGCTCGATGGCGTCTGCGAAGGGTCCAGTGGCGTTGATAACACCCTTGGCACGGATTTGAAATTCTTGAGCACCATCTGCGTCCTTGTTCAGGGAAGAGAGAACATCCCTACCCTTGACACCAGTAATCTTGCCGTTGGCATCCTTCTCGAGGCTGGTTACCTCGAAATGGTTGAGCACAGTAGCACCGTAAAGAGAAGCAGTCAAAGCAAGGGAGACGTTCATTCGAGAGTCGTTGTGCTGTCCGTCGTAGTAAATCAGAGCGCCAACCATGTTGTTTCTGCGGAGGAGTGGGAATTCAGCCCAGGCCTTGCTCTTGGTCATGAAGTAGGAGCCCTCGAGGCCCTGGGAACCGGCAAGGAGATCGTAGGCCTTGGTGCCGCACCACATGTAAGGTGCCTGCCACCACTGCTGAAGGGGGAGGAGAATAGGGACCGAGTTAGACAAGTGAGGGGCAATGTTGAGGAAAGTTCTGCGCTCGCGAAGGGCTTCAATAACGAGCTCGAGCTGGGGGTAATCGAGATTCATGACGGCCTTTTCGAGGTAGCGCACGCCTCCATGGACGAGCTTGGTGCTCTTGGAGCTGGTACCCGAAGAAAAGTCGTCGCGCTCAACAAGAGCAACCTTCAAACCACGAGTGGCGGCGTCGACGGCGATGCCAGTACCGGTAGCACCACCGCCAATGATCAGAAGATCGTACTCGGCATCGCTGGAAGAGCCATCGTGGCGTCGAAGGTCGTCGAGCTGCTCCTTGCGGCTTTTGAGAGCTGGGAAGGTGGGGGGTACGATTCGGCCTTGGCTGTCGCGCTTGGCCTCAACAATGGGCAAGGAAATGGTGTGCTTGCGGGAGTTGGAGTAAGCGTAAAGTCCACTCCCTCCTACGACTGCACTTGCGGCAGCGATAGTGAGGGGGCGCCTCAGAGACTGTAAACGTGAGGCCATGGCGAAGTCTGGTGTTGTTGCCGACGAGGGAAGCCTTCCGGCAAAGGGCTCCTGGTAAGGGGTTTCTTCTTGTCCTGGAAGCTCTGCGGGTATGGACCGTGAGAGCTTTGGGTATGGGTATGGCAGGTATTAAGGGACAAAGAATGGCAAAACGAAAACAAAGTTTGAAGATGCCAGTCAAAGTCTATGCTGTGGCAGGACAAGACTTCAAGATGAGCTGTTTTCTTATGAGTTTGATCCAACTTTCATTCGTGGAAAGACATGATCCGCAAACACTGGGATCGGCACAAAAGCCCGAAGTCGCTGAAAGAAGAAAAACTCCCATCGTCATCTGTCATTCTCACTTCTCTTCTCCGTTGTTCCCGTGGGGGGCGCCCCCTAAGCACAGCGGCCGGGTCCACGTCGGCGAGGCTCGCATCTTGATGGGTGTCCGTGGAGCACGTGCGGAGACCAGGACTGCCGTGTGGACTCAAGAGTGGGCACCGCGGCTGAGCTGACAAGGTTTTGCAGGTGCTCTGCCAGCCGGCCAGGCACAGGAATGGACGGATGTGGTGTTTCAATTCGACGACACGAGCTGGGCGTTTCGTGCATTTTGCGGCTCACTGCGTCATGGCAAGTCATGGCAGGCGCCATCGGACGGCCCCTGCCATCATGCAGGGGCCCACTTATGCATGTCGGGGTGCCAGTTCCGAGATTTAGCTCGGGGAGCGCTCGGGGTCGCGACCCGACCACTTTAAATTTCGGGTGTCTCGGGGGACGCACCCCGAGCTGGAATTATCGATGCCAACCAATATTTCTCTCATTCATCGCGGCGAGGGAAGATGAGGTCTCATTCAGTTATGAGCTATATACATACCGGGCCGGTGGACCATCAGCCATTTGCGTTGGCAACCAACCCCAGAGCGTTGACCCCATTTACTATGTGAGAAATAACTTCCCCGTGGGCTGGATCTATAATTGCGTGCATTCTCGAGGTACCCTATTTTTAAACTCCAGACACTACCACGAGATTTCCCCAACTCCCGGGTATCTGTGTCCCTCACTGAGACGAGATAACGTTAGATGGTGTAACGGGGGATCTGGTAGGCGGGATTAGGGGGGAACAAACTCAACCCTCCACTTTCCAATCCGAATCCCACCCTTGCAAATTGCAGCAGCTGTGACATGCATCAATCAGCACTTTAGCTCTCCCTTTAAGAGACTACCGTTTATGCTGAGCGCAATAGAGTGTGTTAGAATACCCATCATCGTTAGCCCTGCGCTGTGATTGGTGGGGAATCGGCCTCACAAGCCTGCCTCATTTGTTGAACGGAAAAGACCAATTTCAGCCGAAGGGGGGCCAAGGGACGCATCCCACGCAACACCACCACTGGCTGTAGTGTGGTAGCATTCTTCAACGTGCTTCGTCTCATCTCGGGACGAGGGTATCTGATTTAGCGAGCTGGAATCCAAGGGCAAGACTTATCGCTTACGCGACCACGCCTCCTGCCCTGAGCTGAGTCTTATATCCATGCAGGTCCAAAGTAGTGGCACCTGCTCTCACGGAGA